GACAATGACAGCCATTATGGCTACGAGTCCCTGCTGATGCATCCGGGAAAGAAGACGGTTCAAGTGCTTGGGTCCCTGCACACACGCGGGAGATCAGGAAGAAGCTCTTGGTTCCTGGCTTCAGATTGGCTCAGCTCCACTTGCTACCTGCTACTTGGGGAGTGAACCAGCAGGTGGAGGACCCCTCTCTGTTGCTCCTCCTCTCTCTGCCTTTCAAATAAATTTAAAAAGTAAAAAGGAAACCTTAAAACAAAAAGAGCCAAATTCTGCATCCAATACTGTGCTGCAGTGGCTAAGGAGGCACCTGGCCCTGGAATCCCACACGAGACCAGCTGTTGCCGCAGCGACGGACCTGCCACCCAGCTCCCTGCCACTGGGTCTGGGAGGCAGAGGAAGGCAGCTCCAGGGTTTTGCTGCCTGCCACCCAGGTGGGCGGTCTGGAAGAAGCGCCAGGCTCCCGGCTTCAGCCAGCCCAGCCTTGGCCATTGCAGCCATCGGGCTGTGAACCAACAGATGGAAGCTCTTTCTCCCTGTTAACTTTGCCCTTCAAATAAGTCATTTTTCCAGCACCCTTCTACTCAGGGGGCCTCAGCAGCGAGGGCTGGGCTCTGCTGGGGTTGGGGCCGTCTCCACTCCTACAGCCCGCCCCTGGGAATGTCCAAGCCAGGGTGCGGGTGCGCGTCCACCACCGGGTGAGCAGCATGCCAAGGCCAGGCTCTGCCTGCTGTCCTTGCTCCTGCTAACTGCCAAGCCCACTGGGCCACAGCACACGAGGGCTGAGGACGGGCTCGCTGTCGCCCACGCTGTGGAGAGTGAACCAGCTGATGGAAGGGCTGTCCAATGCTCTACCTTCCCCATACATAATCTGTTTTCGGAAAGACAGAGTTTCCAGCCTGGCTCGCACTTCCTGCTGCAGTGGCACAGACCCAGCCGGCCGCTGGAGGACCGGCCACTGCCCCGGCGTCTGCGACAGGAAGGCAGGAAGGCGCCCGGGGACCTTCCCAGGGCATTTATTACCGTCCTTGTCCACGCCCTTCACCTCAGCAGTCGGCTCCTGGCACCTGGTGCTGTTGTCACATCCCTGCGGCTGCGGCAGCGGTGGTCGGTGGCGGCTGCCACTGCGTCTCTCTGCCTCGGTCTGAAAGAGCAAAGGGAGACAGGCACCTCCTGAGAGGGGCGCCGGCCGGGCCACCAGGCCCCAGTGCGCAGGCCGGGACCGGGCTCAGCCCCCCGGGGACCGGGCTCAGCTCCCCGGTGCGCAGGCCGGGGACCGGGCTCAGGCCCCCGGTGCGCAGGGTGAGGACGCGGGCTCAGCCCCCAGTGCGCAGGGTGAGGACGCGGGCTCAGCCCCCAGTGCGCAGGGTGAGGACGCGGGCTCAGCCCCAAGTGCGCAGGCCGGGGACACTGCTTCAGCGCCCCAGTTGGCAGGGCGGGGACGCAAGAGCAGGTTCCCCACAGTACAGAGGACAGGGGGTCCAGGCGCAGGCTCCAGGTGGGCTGAGACCCTGGCCTTACTCACACGCCCGCGAAGCCGGCCCCGGAGGAAGGAGCGGGCATCTGGGCATCTTTACGGCCGGGGTGGGGGTGACCTGCATGCGGTCAGCGAGCAACCCCGGGACTGGGGAGAGAAGAGGAGCCCACAGACCAGCCATGCAGAGAAAGCCCAGAGCAGGCCCCACGTGCAGGGGCCGGTGGAGTCTGTGCAGACAGCTGCCACACCTTCACACCCACCCTTTCACTTGCTCATGCCCCGTCATGAACGCGCCTGCCGTGTGCAGGGGCCTGGACTGGGGCCCTAGTGTTACAGGCTGCAGCCGAGCGGGGGCAGCGGCACCGGGCAGCAGCCCTTGGAAGCTTCCCTGCCATGCCAAGTGGAGCTGCAGGACCAGCAGCCTCTGCCTGCGGCGCTGGCATCCCCGACGGGCGCAGGTCTGAGGCTCGCCTGCTCCACTTACAGTCCGGCTCCCTGCTAATACACCTGGGATGACAAAGACACCCCAAATGCTTGGGCCCCTGCAGCTGCGCAGGACACGGATGGAGTTCCTGGCTCCTGGCTTTAGACCAGCCTGGCCACAGCCGCTGGGGCCACTGCGGAGTGAACCAGCAGACGCAACATTTCTTATCTGTAACTGCCTTTTATGTGGAATTTTTAAAAATGTTTTTAATCATTGGAAAGATACACAGAGAGGAAGAGAGACAGAGATCTGTCCGCTGATTCATTCCCCAAGTGGCCACAATGGCCGGGGCTGAGCCGATCCAAAGCCAGGAGCCTGGAGCCTCTTCTGGGTCTCCCCCGCAGGTGGATGCAGTGTCCCAAGGCTTTCGGCTGTCCTCGACTGCTTTCCCAGGCCACAGGCAGGGAACTGGGAGGGAAGTGGAGCTGCCAGGATTAGAACCGGCACCCATATGGGATCCTGGTGCATGCAAGGCAAGGACTTTAGCCACTAGGCTACCATGCTGGGCCCAGAATAAATCTTTAAAGATAAGAATGCCAGTGAATATTCCAGAGGAAAGGAAGCCAGAGATGCAATTGAAGCGTTCCAGGCAAGATCTACATCAGGAAGGCAGAAGGTGGACAGGCCATTTTGGAGGCAATGAGCAGGTCTGACCGTGGCCTGCAGGCTGGAAGGCACCGCCGTGCAGCACTTGCTAACGCTCAGGGCTGGGATTTGGCTCCTAGGAGGCAAACACTGCAGAGTGCAGAGATAACGTCTGCAGTTCACTCTCAGTCCAGAAGAGGGCGCGCGCACGCCGACGAGCATGTCGCATAACCCAGGTCAGTGTGTGGGACAGCGCATTTGCCTACACTCCATTGCAACCTTCCTGCCAAGTCTGACGTTCTGCAAGCTTTGAGGGCTACCTCCTAAGCTGGGTGCTCAGCCAGGGCCAGGGTGCATCCTGCACGGGGAGAGGGTGCCAAGGTCTGGGCTATGCAGTAGCAAGCAGCCGAGCGGCAGCCCAAGTGCAAAGGAGCAACACATTAGGTGAGGGTTCCAGGGCAGGCGGAGGCCGCAGCACGGTTTGTGACATGACCTGGCTGCCATTTGACAGTGGCCACAGTTGCGAGGCAGCAGCCACGTGGCAGCAGCTGGCTTTAGCAGTCAGAGGGGGCCTGCACTGTGGTGCCACTGGGATTCTGAAGGTTAGGGCTGGCAGGGGGCAGCTGCTCCCTGGAGACGCTCTGGGGCCAGGCTGGCCAGCACAGGGCAACTCCCGGGGCACGACAGCCTGTGCCCAGCCGGCACCCTCACTGGCTGGGTTACCTGCAGCCAGTTGCTTCCCCCACACCTCAACTCCCTCCCCTGTGAGGGGGGGTCCGGACCTTGATGAAAGCATGTGAACGGCTCAGGGCAGTCCCGGCCGGTGCCAGGGCTCAGCAGGCTAATCCTCCACCTGCAAGCACATCCTTTATGGGTGCCAGCGCACGTCCCGGCTGCTCCATTTCTGCTCCAGCACGCTGGAGAAGCCGTGGAGAATGGCTGTCTTTGAGTCTCTCATGCACTTGGGGGCCCAGGGGAAGCTCCTGGCTTCAGGTCAGCTTAGTTCATCAGTGAATCAATGAATCACCGCATCCAAGTTTTCTCCCTCTCTGAATCTGCCTTACAAGTAAATCAATCTTAAGGAATAGCACACTCACCAGAGATTACGGCCCCCTGTGCCACCAGAGTGCCAGGTAAGACACACAAGGGGTCATGCAGAACACTTCTTTGGGCACGAGCTTGCCACTGCTGTGGCGTGTGCCTTCTGCCACGTGTGTGCAAGCAGGGCACAGCGGCTCGGCCAGGTGGTGCCCCAGCCCATCTGGGGGAATGGTGTGCAGCGACTGGGAGGTGGGGCGGGGCCGAGAAGTGAGAGCCACAGCGGGATGGGGCAGAACCAGGCCTGGCACCCATCCCCCTTGAGTCTGCAATCCACTTGGCCAGGAGCTAGTTGTTGGAGGAACACATTTGGGAAGAACAGTTCCTCTCCTCACACGGGTCCTTTAATGCGTTCAGTGTAAGACTGTGCCAAGGTGACAGGCACCCCCAGGGAAGGGCCGAGTTACTCAGTAGGTTGACATGACCGTCGCCCTTCATCTCAGCTTGATGACAGATGGCTCTGACCAAGCAAGAACTGACAGTCTCTGCAGACACGCAGGTCTGTTTGCCTAACAGGTTCAGCCGAGCAGAACCTGGCCGAAGGACTGGCCTCGAGGACCGTGTGGCCATGGCATGCTGCTCAGTGGGGGAGTATGGCGCAGGAGTCCCACAGCAGGCAACTGGCGCACTTGGGCTCACCAAGTAGGGGAGCTGAGAGCACCCCTCTGAAACAGGGACAAGGGCTGCTGCTGGCTGACACCTCAGCACTGCTGTGATATGGGCAGTGACCCGCACAGGCAGCGTGGGGCCAGGCTCTGCGCCCTCAACCGGTATCTGTTTTTCTATATTCCTTCCTTCCTTTCTGGTTTGAAAGGCAGATTTATAGAAGTGATCAGCTGGCTCACTCCCCACATGGCCCCCAACGGCCAGAGCCAGAAGCTTCTTCCGGGTCTCCCGTGCAGGAGCAGGTCCCAGGGCTTTGGGCCATCCTCTTTGCTCTCCCAGTCCACAAGCAGGGAGCTGGATGGGAACTGGAGGAGCAGGGATTAGAACGTTTTGTGCACAAATGGGGCAGAGGCTCAGCATCTTGCAAAGCCAAAGGACCCTGGCATTCAGCAAGGGCTGTTGCACGTCGCCGGGCTCGGGGGTTGCTCCGGTTGCCATCAGTTCCACTTTGCAGATGAAGGGAGAGGCTGGGAGCAGCGAGGTGACCGCCGAAGGTTCTCAGCCCTTAGCTTAATACCAGAGTCCAGGGCTAACCACAGAGGGCAGAGCTGCCTACTGGGCTGCTCTGGTTCAGCCAGCCAGGGGGCCCGAGCGCCCAGGCTGCCGTCACCGTGTGGAACCACCACACATTTGTCCTGGCTCCTGGCTCAGCCAACCCTGGCTGCTGCAGCCACTAGAACAACGAACCCAAGGATGCAAGTTCTTCCTGTTAGTTTCTTGTCGTTGTTTCAGAGCAGTGTGAACGCAGTCCCCCACTGCCACAAATGATGCACTTGTCCCACGTTTGGGGACATCGCACGGGTCAGCACATCCCAAGTGCAACGGACAAGCCTCGCCCTGGGTATCTCCCCTGCCAGGTAAGTATCTTCCTGTCACTTTAAAAAATAAGTGTTTAAAAAAATGGTGGTGAGGACCCTGGCATGACGGCATAGTGGTTAAAGTCCTCGCCTTGCATGCACCGGGATCCCATATGGTTGCTGGTTCTAATCCCGGCAGCCCTACTTCCCTCCCAGCTCCCTGCTTGTGGCCTTGGAAAGCAGCAGAGGACGGCCTAAAGCCTTGGGACCCCGCACCCACATGGGAGACCTAGAAGAGCTCCTGGCTCCTGGCTTCGGATTGGCTCAGGTCCAGCCATTGTGACCACTTGGGGAGTGAATCATCGGACAGAAGATCTTCCTCTCTGTCTGTCCTCCTCTCTGTATATCTGCCTTTCCAATAAAGATAAATAAAATCTTTTTTAAAAAATGGTGGTGGTGCACTAACTCCAAAGTCACTGACAATCGTACTATGTCCAACAACTACATACTTGCCTGACTTGTCCCTCCAGGAGCACAGAGCTGTGGATGAGCTGGTGGCCAGCAATGTGGTTATGGTGCCGCACGTTGAGCTGCCGCCTGCAATGCCAGCTTGCCATACATACAGCACCAGTTCCAATGATGGCTGCTCCCTGCCGATGGGCCTAGGAAGACAACACAGGATGGCTCGAGAGCTGAGGCCCCTGCCACCCGTGGCAAGCCCAGGTGCATCCAGCCCTGGCACTTGTGGCCTTCCGGGGAGCGAGCCAGCAGACAGACAAGCTGTGTAACTCTGCCTTTTAAATAAAGCTTCAACGGAGCTTCCCGCTCCTTGATACCAACCATTCCAATCACTAAGGTCACTCCCTCCACATCTCCGAACTTGACACTGAGGTCTGGGGCAGGCTGGCGGGTCCGGTTGGTGGCAGGAGTGCATCTTCCGGCTTTCTGCCCAGGGAATGGCTCGTTCAGTCGCGGCGTTGCCACCAGAGGGCACCAAACACACCTGCAACGGGACCAGGAAGGGCACCGTCCTCCCGCTTGGAGAGTTCTTGCAGAGGACTACCCGACTCTGAGCCTGCCCCAGACACACTTCTTCCCCTAAAGAAATGCAGTGAGACACTCGTCAGAGCTTCACCCCTCCCCTCGTTGGCCTACTGCAAGGGGGCTGCCCGGGTAGCTTTCCGTGCCACCTTGCCTCCTGGAGGCCTTGTGTGGGCAGGTGTGACTGCACGAGCCTGCTCTCACACCTCGGTTTTTTCAGGAACGGCTTGTCGTGTGACCGATCCCCTGAGCTACCTCTTCCAACTGGACCTTTTTCGAGAGCCACATCACAGTTCCACAGCACTCATTTCAGCCGAGTCCTCGGCTGCCAGCTTCCCTACTTTCTCTTTTGGCAAAGGTTTCCAGGTTGTTGCAACGCAGAGCACTCACTTCTCCAAGGCGCACCGGGGCCGCCTGCCTCCAGGCCTGTGCCCCCTGGGACTCCAGCACTCGCGGACATCCCTGCCCGCAGTTCGCAGCCCCACTTGCTATCTGTGCTACATCTAACTCCAGAACGAGGCCGAGACCCCCACCCCCGCTGTGTGGCCATGAGGGTTAGCTCACTCACGTTAAACATCGACCACGTGGCAGACGCTGCTCAGGGCTTGGCAATCTGGCAAACTTGCACGGTTCTTGGTGCCAGCTCATAAAAGGCAGCACGAGGCGGTAAAGACGAGGACCACAGGCCGGGTGCGAGGCATGTGCTCAGGTGATGCCCCCGAGTGGGCTGGCAGTGCAGAGCCTCAGGCCAGGGACTGCCGCCAAGGCCCTCCACAGCAAACCTGGCCAGAGGAAGCTGCGATGTACAAGGCGGAGTTGGAGGTGGTAGTGGGGAGTTCCAGGGCAGCCTGTGCCCAAGGAAGCCCCAAGAATTGGCAGGCTTAGAGCTGAGGGTGGGGAGAAGGCAGGAGGGGCAGCTGTAGGCACAGTGCCCAACTCGGGGACCACCACGGGAGGGGAACAGCTCTTGCCAGGGTGCCTGCTTCCAACACCGTCACTCAAGGAGGCTCCATAAACCGAACATCTGCATTTATTGCTTCCAAGGTAGAATATAAGCACATTATAAACATTCCAAAGAGGAAAAAACCATTCTCTTAGCACAAATCTGCATTTGCATTTGTGTTTTAGGGTTCAGATGAACCTGGACTGAATCCTGAGCGACCGCAGCGATGCAGACTTTACCGGTCTCCTCCTGCCTCGGGGCAGACCCTGGAGTTGCACAGGCGGACCTGCAGCGTGCACCGCCCCTCACAGCAGTCAGCTCCACGGAGTCCAACCTTGAAGAGCCAGGCTCATGGGACCCGCTCACCCACTGGGTGCCCAGCCAAGGACACACAACCCATCCCCGCTGCTTCTCATGCCAACGTGTACAGTTTTCTTGTAATCTTAGGGACAATCAAGATCTCGACTTCTGCATTTTCTTACTGATTCCCTTCGCACTTGTCACCTGGCAGAACAAGCAGCTGCACGTGCTGCTATGCCAGGAACACTTCCTGTGCACACACACCCCTGCGAGGCACAGGCCGGGTCCCTAACTGTGCCATCTGCAGAGATCCAGAGCAGGAACGCTGTGCAAGCGGCCTATGGCGGCGAGCTCTCGTCACTAACCCCGCCGTCACTGAACGGCCCCAAAGCTAGGCAAACATGCTGATGGAGTCGTCAGACTGCTCAGCGTGCAGCTATTTCAGCCTGAGTGAACCTGAACAAACTACACTGCCAGAGACGCTCTGGAATCGGGTAAGCACTGGCCAACTCAAACAGCGAGCAGTAAATTCAGAAATACAAAAATACTCTCAGAGGTATTTTGCCCAAATGAGAAAAATCCACATTTCTTCAAAGTTCCGCTGTCAGAATGCTGAGCTAAAATGAATAACTACTTACTAAATGTTCACGTGCAAACCACCAAACTCCACACTACCAGGAGACGGTACTGAAGGATCCGAGCCGTGACAGGTTAGGGCTGGAGGGGAGACTGCAGCCCAAACCAAGGCCAGCCAGGGTGGAGGGTGTTGCCTGAAGTCATCAACACGCTTAGGTGATGACTCCATGACCACTGCTGGATGCCAAGCAGCCAGCCCAGCAGGCAGGTCATGCAATGGCAGTGACCCAAGGGCAGTGGCCAACAGGCTAGCCACGCAGTGGAGGCTGGGCCCGAGACCCAGGGAGCCTCTGGCAGAGGAGGCGGGAAAGACTGAAGTAGAACCAAGGGCAGAGGCTGATGTGGAGACGGCAGCATGGTGGCCCAGCCATGACCCAGCGGACTGAGGACGAGGGGACGGTGAAGGTGCGCGCCAAGGACGTGGTGCAGAGGGCAGCAGGCAAAGTCCTCGTGGCGAGTCAGCAGTGCCCAGGCGGCAGCTCCACGAAGACGGCAGCTCTGGAGTCACGGGGCCTGCAGCTGGCAGTGACAGGTCGAGCCCTCCAATGCTCACCTGGTGGCAGCCTGCCAGCTGTGGGCAGGTCACAGCAACTCTCAGGGGCTCTTCAGCCAGGCAGACTTCTAGGATGGCTGTCCACTAAGGCCACAGGCAGGAAACGGTGTCCCGTGCTGCCCCTGTCACCAGCTAACCTGCAGCCCGAGTGTCCCTGCTCACAGATCACGTGGTGCGGCCACCTCGTGTCGCCTGTGACAATGGTGAAAAGGCTGAGGGATCAGACGCAGCCACCTCTAACCAACTGCTTGGGAGCGGTCACCAGGGTACGACACACCGTCTGTGGATGGTGACAGCGGGTCCACTGGGCGAGCTTGCCAGGCCATTTACACACGCAGCCTGGCACCACTGGACTGGGAAGCAGAAACACAGCGAGCGAATCCCAGGTGTTGGAGTCAGCGGGCAGGTACACACGCTCTGCGCCTGTTGCTGAAGATCCATGCACCTTATTCCAACCAAGCTGGAGCCGGCAGCAGCCCAGGCGAGCCCACTGCGGCCTCTGAAGCAGCTCTGACTCGCTCTGGGGTGCGCAGGGGAGGGCGTTTGGGCTGACAGATTCTGCTGTGACCTGGAGCCGGCCCCATGCTCCAGCAGGTGAAGCCAACCCCCACGAGGCCCAGCCGCTCCGCTTCTGAAGCAGGTCTTGATAAGGCCCGGGGAAAGCAGATGGCTCAAGCGTCCGAGCCTGCCACCCTCTTGGGAGACTTGGATGAAGCTTCTGGCTTCGGCCTGGCCCGGTGTTGGCAGCTGCAGCCATGTGGGGAATAAACCAGAAAAATGGAAGATATTGTTCTCCCCTCTTCCCGTACAACTTCCATATAAACAAACATACCTTTTATATATAGAAAAGAAATGCTGTGAACACCAAGAGCTCCACTGGAAAACACACCTCTTCAACTGTCCAGAAAGAACTGGACACACAGGTGCTAACACACGCATTACAGAATGCCCTAAGCCAGCCTCGCCACTTGGCTTCACTAGGAAACCCAGTCAGCTGTCTCACAGGTCTTGTAACTCGCCCCCGAGCTTACAAAGAACCCTTCCTGGCTGGTGCACTCAGTAGGACCGCAGTCACAGGGCTCCACGCTCCCCTACGTGCTCACCATGGCACTTGGCAGCCCAGCTGTGCACCGCTCAGAGCTGTGCGCAGGCAACCCCCTAACCAGCCCAGGAGGCAGGCTTGAGAAACTGAGGCATTACCAACCTGCATTCCAAGAACTTCAGGGAACGTGGAATTCAAAAGGTTATTTTGGTGCAAAACAGAAAATTGAAGGTCAGTGCAGTTCCCACTTCCCACAGCGCCCACTGAGGCTCAGATGTCAAATGACTGCACAGGGCCCCATGCAGATGCCTAGTGGACAAAGCTCTAGCTTTAGCAGCATCGGATCCCGTACGTTTGTGTCCCAGCTGCTCCACTTCCCATCCAGCTCCCTGCCTGTGGCCCGGGAAAGCAGTCGAGGATGGCCCAAAGCCTTGGGACCCTGCACCTGCATGGGAGACCCAGAAGACTCTGGGGTCCTGGCTTCAGATTGGCTCAGCTCTGGCCGTTGTGGCCACCTGGGGAACCAGCAGACAGGAGATCTTTCTCTCTGTAAATCTAACTTTCCAATAAATAAATAAATCCTTAAAAAACTTGTTTTGCACCAAAATAAACTTTTCTTCTATTTCCTGTTTCCAACCATTTAAAATACCCTTACATAACTCACCTCCAAATGAGAGAGGTGCTAGATTTGAACCCAGGAGGTCCCATATTAACCGCCCTGCAGCCCCTAAATGGACCACCAGCTGTAAGAGGAGGGCCACTGGGAAGGATCCAAGTCAGAGGACCCAGCAGCGCATCCAGACGACTCAGGGACGGCATTCCTGGGATCTCCACTTACACAAGAACCCTCTGGGGGCCATGAGCGGCCATGGTCAGCAGCCAGGGCACACTCCCAGGCCAGCAGAGCACCCCCCACTCTTCTGGAATGCCACAGAACTGCCAGGGTTATCCATGAACGATTCTGATCACACGGCAAAGGGCAGAAGAGAGACCAGAAATTATTTCAACATTTACTACCAGATTTGTGTGCAGTAACTGGGAACCAGAAGCTGGCAGGGAGACAAGCTGAGCTCAGAGCCCAGCACAGGGACAGGCTCACCCACCGATGCAGGGCCGCTCAGAGCCCAGCACGGGGACAGGCTCACCCACCGATGCAGGGCCACCCAAGGGCCTGCACGAGTCTCAGGAGATGGCAGGGGAGACGTCCAAGTCGCTGTGGAACGACCTGCAGACCTAGACTCAGAGTTCTCTCCCTCAAGTGCTTTCACCATCCACTGGTAATCTACAGGAAAGCAAGCATGCGCGAACCTTGACCTGCAGTTGGTCCTGGCACTCCCTGGCTCTTCCGCCTCGTGGAGGCAGATGGACCTTCCAGCACCCTCAGCCACCCCCAGAACCATCCTCAGGAACGTGCTGTCTCTCTGCTCACAGTAACGGATGATGCAGCGACATCACCTAGTAAAACATGAAATGGCAAATCCCAGGTAGCTCCTCAAAGAGCGACAAGCGCAGCTCACAGCAGCTCAGGCCTCCCTGGAGCTGCACGCCCCGCACCCCTGCGGCAGGCAGTAGGTGCTGCAGCCTGGCAGTCTCACATGGCACATCCAGTCCTCAGGGCACGGACTACTGACTGGAAACCAAGGGACCCAGCCTTCCAAACTGTTCAATAATGGGGGGTCCTCCCGTGCTTCCTGAGGGAGGAAGCCAAATGCCACCTGGCTAGGCCCCCAAGACTCCTGGAGGCTGGAAGGCAAACAGCAGCCTTCCTGGGGATGGAGCCCCAGGCGCCCAGGTGAACCAAGCAGGAGGAATCCCAGAGTACTCCCCAGGGCGTCCCGAGTCCTCCAGGAACTCGGGCTCAGGGACTTCCTTCTGCACGTGTCCTGCTCTCCTCCCGCGTCCTGAGGAGGTGGTCCCTGCAGACAGACCTAACAGTGAACCCGAACAGCCGCTCACACCAAACTGTGGTTATTTAAGAAAATGGTAATTTGCAAATTTCTCCTTTCCATCCTACAGCTCTAACACTGAAGCGCTTCAAGCGTACCTGGGAAGGTTTTAAATTCAGGCTAACATCTAATTCTGGAACAAAAATAAAACCTGAAAAGAAAAACCAAGGATCCAACCCATCAACTCTCAGTGAGAAAGAATATGACAGTAGCCCAGCTCTTCCGACGCCAAGGCCACGGCCACGCGTACGGCCACCGCAGCCAGGGAATGCGTCTCCCGGCCTTCTGCACATGCCCCCACCGTCTCTCTCAGGTACGGCCAACGACAACCGAGCAGCCGTGCCCGATGTCTCTGAGGCAGCAGGTGCCACACGCTCCCTTCTATCCCGACCACACTGTCGGAAGTGACTAGCGTGACATTTTTTCCTTCTAACTCTGCAGCCCCGGCCTCTGTTTCTGCTCAGATGTGGCTTTCAGAAGGGCAGGGCTTAGTCCTAAGGCTCTGTTCCCAGGAAGGCTGCAGAAGAGGGACGCAGCTACAGAACCTGTGCGATCATGCCACAGGCATTCTCACAGGTCTGACAGGGTTCACGCACAAGACCCTTCAGCTCACTACAGATTCATGAAGCCATGGCTGGTGTAGCAAATTAATATCAAAACAAAGAAAAACTTCACCCAAATATTTACATTTTAAAAATTAGGCTACTTATTAAGTGTGCTTAAACAAACCATGTGTGGAATTCAATTCCATTCATGATGGAGTTAGTCTATACTAAGCACTTACGCCCCAAGGGAGGCCATGGCATCTGAGGTCAGAGTTCTCAACTGGCCCCAATCTACACTAGAAAATCAAGCATGACAGGCATAGCGCCACGTCTCGGGGTTGGCTCAAGGCTCCCCGGTGGAAGGCTTGTCTGGGAGGGCCAGCGTGGACAGCGAGTGCGGTGTGCAGCTGTCCGCAGAAGCCGGCGGCGGGTACACGGCCCGGAGGCCTCCCTGCATCAGACACTAGAGTTCTGCAAACGTTCATGTTCATAAAGACGTCCGGAATACGCTTGGAAACGTCTACGTTACACAGAAGACAGAAACAAAACCCACGCAGTTACTCACAGCTCACAGAGCTTTTTAAAAGAAACTACTACTCATGCAGTCCAATTAAAAATCCAAATCCTTTGTATTACACAGAAATAGACAATTCAGGATGCAGCAGAGCCCACGCATGGAGCATCTCGGTTCCTGGTCGCACAGCGACGGGCCACCACACGGGGACTGTCCCCGACCTGGGCTCTGGCCTCACACAGCCTGCGAACATCTTCTGTCTTTCGCTCTGTGGTGTGAGAGCGAGGACACTGCAGAAAATGCAGGGGTCAGAGATGTGACAGCCACTAACATGTCACTGATCACTTCCTCACAGAACACGCGTGTGAGCGCGTGGCTTAAAATGCGACTGCACTATTTTGTTTTCTTACTTTATCCTGAATCCAATTTGACAACGGCAGCAAACTTAATTTTCCACCTGGAGTGAGTATAACTCTCTAAGAGGTGTTATGTCCACTGGGTCCTAATGAACAGCAGAGAATTTTGGCGGTTTTCAGTTTAACAAAGAAAAAAGCTATGCCGACATCTTTCCCCCTACACAAAGGATTCAATAAAAAGCAAATACAAACTGCTTTCAGAACACCTGCCCCAAGCTGGCCTTCGGGGCTCAGAATGGCCGACGTCCCCAGGAGCACACACGCGCTTCTCGTCCGTGGAGCGTGTAAGCCCAGCCCCCTTTCTAAGAGCCATGCTTCCACGAGGACGGAGAACGGAGCAGCTTCCTCTGCCAAGTGCGCAGGTCTGCAATCACCCAGTCACCCTCGGTCAGAATCAGCGATGCCGACAAACTCCATTAGTCCGCATGCACGTTTGCTTTGTTTAAAAAGTGATTAGATTTTATACACTGAAGTGGGCACAATTTTTATGTTTCACACAATTTTGTCGGTAGAACAGAACCCTGAATTCCTTGAATCTGTGACGGAAGGTTTGTGGAACGTGTGCATTATCGTAAGCAGCAGCAAAATGCCAAACGCCCGCTCAGAGCAGAGGGACCTGCTCACACTTTCAGAGTGCTGGTCCACGGACAAGGGCCGGCACGGGAGCCAGTCCAAGGAAGAAATAAATTACTGCCTTGCAAACAGCTCGAGGCAGGACAAGTATAAGCATATTGGGCATATTATTCCTAAAGGTTTGGCGGGAAAAAAAATCATACAATGTCAAAAGGAAGTGTTAGCTGCATCCTAGCATTCTAAAGGCATGTTTCAGGCATTCCACAATGATTCTGCTAAGACCAACTGCTCACATACATGCACACGCACACACAGATTTTAATGGTTTTTAAAAAACCAGATTTGTTACTTTAGAAAAATGAACGCAGTGCATTAACGCCACACTGCCTGCCCAGGCCACGTGTAAGCAGCAGGCGCCTCGTGCGGGGACGCGGCGTCGGCACGGAGCCACGCACGGCAGGACAAGCACAGACGGAGCTGCTGCACAAGGGCGTCACTCATCAGAGCCCGCAGACCTCTTCTGTAGCCGCTTCCGGGGCAGCCTTCTCGGCGAAGCTTTATCTGCAAGAGAGAACAGCGGGTGAGCACTTGGGAGCATCTTCCTTCGGCGTCACCTCTCCTGGGAGCACACACGCGCAGGACGGCGGCTGTGAGCCACAGCTGCGCAAGACTTGACAACTGAACAAGTCTCAGCATGCACCAACAGACGTTTCCAGAACTGCCTCATAGGGTGTGACAGAGCTGCTCAAAGACCAGTAACTTTCCAAGACGAAATAATGCTATTTAGTGTCCACAATGCAGTCATGCAGGCTGCATCATTGTAGGCAAGCTCCTGACTCCACCTGGAAGCGGCTGCAGGGGTAATCAGGGATTCACCACAAAGCCACGGCACGCACACGGCACGCACACGCGTGATCTTTGCACTCCCCCCCTCACGTGAGACCCTGTTCAGCAATACACAACCACCTGTCCTCAACGCCTCAGGCCGGGACTGACCTTACTCTGCCGACCGTCTTCCTCTCTCAGCTTCTTGAGACACTTGACATAATACCAAAGCAGTTACGAAGTAATTTATAATAAATCATTTTCCAGTATTTAAAAAAAAAAAAAATCAAACTCCTGGGGCAACAGCGCCATCATTCATTTTTAAGTATTTTCATGAAATGAGAAAAATCAGCCTAAAAGATTGTTAAGTCATCCAATGTATTAAGTTTTAGCAAGTACTTTATATGAGTATTTGAACACTAAAAGTTGTGCTTAAAAAAAAAAAACCGATGGGCCCAGTGTGGTAGCCTAGCAGCTAAAGTCTTCGCCTTACCTGTGCCAGGATCCCATATGGGCACTGGTTCATATCCCGGTGGCCCCACTTCCCATTCAGCTCCCTGCCTGTGACCTGGGAAAGCAGTCGGGCATGGCCCAAAGCCTTGGGACCCTGCACCCACGTGGGAGACCCAGAGGAGGCTCCAGGCTCCTGGCTTCAGATCGACACATTCTGGCCACTGTGGCCACTTGGGGAGTGAATCAGTGGACAGAAGCTCTTCCTCTCTGCATATCTTACTTTCTAATAAAAACAAAATAAATCTTGCAAACTGTCGGGCTAGTGTTGCAGTGTAGCACGCTAAGACCACATCCACGCGGCAGCTGCAGCCCTGGCTGCTCCACTCTGATCCACCTTCCAGCTAACGCTCCTGGACGGAAGCAGGGAATGGCACGCCAGGCTGGAGTTCCCAGCTTCAGCCCAGACCTGGCTGTTGCAGCCATCTGGGAAGTAAACCAAAGAATCAAAGACTTGATTCTTGATCTCCGTCTTTAAAAATCATAGAAAACACATATTACTATTCTATCTATCTTCCCATACACTTTAAAAAAGATTGATTTCTTTGAAAGGCAGACAGAGAGAGAGAAAGGTGGGGAGAGGAGGCCTTCTCCCCAGTGTTGGCTCACTCCCCAAATGGCTGCAACAGCAGCTGCAGCTGGGCCACGCAGCAGCCAGGGCTCCTACCTGGGGTCCAAGCCCCAAACTCTGAGCCATCCTCCATCGCACCCCACCCCTCCTGCCAGGCACACTAGCAGGAAGGAGCGGGATTCAAGTGCTGGCACCCCAAGGTGCCTCAGGCCACCGGGCCCTAACGCCAGCCGCTCTGCATGGCCTGGAAGTACCTCTGTATGAGCCAGCCGTGCTACACAGCACCTGCGAGAAGACCTCAAGTCTAATCGCAGCTGCAGATTTCACGCCAGTTCATGTAAACTGTAGCTAAACAGAAAGAAGAAAGGTGACTATCTGGCACAGCAGTTAAGTCGCCAGTGGGGACACTCCCAGAACACGTGGGTCCCAGACTCACTGCTGCCTCCAGCGGCTAGGGCAGCTCGGGCAGGCTCGGGCAGGCTAGGGCGGGCTAGGGCAGGCTAGGGCAGGCTAGGGCAGGCTAAGGCGGCTAGGGCAGGCTAGGGCAGGCTAGGGCAGGCTAGGGCAGGCTAGGGCGGGCTAGGGTGGGCTAGGGCGGGCTAGGGCAGGCTAGGGCAGGCTAGGGCAGGCTAGGGCAGGCTAAGGCGGCTAGGGCAGGCTAGGGCGGGCTAGGGCGGGCTAGGGCAGGCTAGGGCGGCTAGGGCAGGCTAGGTCATGGCCACATGGAAGGCCATCCCCTCAGGCACTGGGGAGAGAAGGAAGCAGCAAGGGGGAGGAAAGAGTGTGTTTATGTGTATACATTATGTTTCAGAATCTGACTCTCAGGAAAAGCACACACAGGTCAGCGCCTCCAGGGGCCTTGACCACCACCGTTTTACAGCCACCAGAAAATGGAATTTGTTCAATGACATTTAGAAGCTCTGCTGTTTGAGGACCCAAGACGGAGGAACAGGGCAAGGACACGTTTAAGCAGATGGAGAAACATTAGCCAGTGCGAAGCAGAGAGGGCACATTCTAGGAAAAGGAGAGGACAGAACAATGGCAGAGGGGTACCTGGAGACTGACAGACACGGGAAAGCAGCGGACACAACGGTGTGGTGTTGCAGGGACTGACACCCCAGCGGCATTCACTAACAGCCATCTGAACTGCACTGGCAGGAGGGACTCCACCAGCACCAAGGTGGGAAGGGCGTTCACCGGGAGCCCAGGAGGTGAACCAGACAAACCGCCTGTCCTGCTGGTCCGTTTGCTTTGACCAGGAGCAGACAGAGCAGCAGGTTGCAGACGGGCAGTGTGGGGACAGGGTGGATCTCACGGCCGTCGGCCCCAGAGCTGGCACCCTCATGCACTGGATTAACCTGCTGTGCAGTTACAAGTACTGAGGGACTCTACCTGACTTGGAGCATCTTCCTAATCCAAGACACTGACTGAACATAAAAACTGACTAGTAGACCTGTAGGTAATACATCTTAGAAAACTGCACCAAGGGGAAGAACCTGCCAAACAGGACTGCAATGTCAAAAGCTAAAAGAAGAGACAGAGGCACAATGAATGTTACTGAAGACTCCCGGGTAAAGGAGCAAAAACCTCTCCCACCCTCAGAGCTAACTGAGGAAGACACTGAGAAAATGGAGGACACAGAATTCAGAAAACTCATTATAAAGCTTCTGACCAACAATGAGAAGCACATGATACAGCAGTTCAGAGAATTTAAGGAATATGCCACACAGGAAATGAACCAAACGAAAGCTGACATTTCAGAAGTTAAGAATACAGTGGAGCAAATTAAAAGTACAGTGGAGAGTCTCAAAAATGGAATGAAGAAGGCAGAAGAAAGAATACCAGAATTGGAAGATATTTTCTGTCACCAGGGGGAAACAAACAAAAAGCTGGAAGCAGAGCTAAGCCAAGCTAAAAAAGTATCCAAGAATTAAAAGATACAATTAAAATTATGGGCGTCCCAGAGGCTTAGAAAAAGAAACTGGGATTAAAGGTGTATTCAATGAAATAATAAACAAAACTACTCTAATCTGGAGAAAGAATTGGAAGACAATAAAACAGCAGGGTACAGAACTCTCAACAGAGTTAATCAAAAGCCAACCTCACCAAGATACATGATAATCAAGCTCTCCTCAGTGGAACATAAAGAAATGAGCACATGAGAAAAATCAAGTGACATAGCTGTGACAATCAGACTCACAGCTGACTTCCCAGAGGAAGCACTACAGGCCAGGAGAGAATGGAGTGCCACATTCCAGACTCTAAAAGAGAAACATTTTCAGACCAGAATAATGCATCCTGCAAAGCTCTCCTTTGTCACTGAAAATAAAGCAAAATTCTTTCACTATAAAGAAAAACTCCAAGAATTCGTGTCCTCCAAACCGACAATACAGCTAATACCCAAGGATGCTGTAGTGACAGAGAAATGGAACAGCAGCTGCAAAGCCACAGGCAAATGTGGAGGACATCCCACTGAGAGGCCGACAGGAGACTCAACAAAGAACAGCCCAGGACCAAGCTGCGACCCATCCATTTTAACGCTGAATGTAAATGGCCTGAACTCATCAACCAAATGCCACAGATTAGAGGACTGGATCAAATAGTAGGAGACACATCTCACTAACAAAGATCAGAGGAAACCAAAAGTGAAAAGAAGGAAAAAGAAATTCCAACCAAATGATAAGGAAAAATGTGCAGGGGCAGTCATTCTTATATCAGATGATATAGACACCGATGTGAAAAACATTAAAAGAGATGAAGAAGGAGACCACCATAATAAATACACATGCGCCAAATGCCAAGGCACCTAGCTACGTGAAACAAACATTAACAGACCCCAATAGAATCATAGTGGGAGACCTTAATACTCTATTAACATCAATGGACAGATCAAAAACAGAAGCTCATGAAACTCTAGCTCACCCAAACTCCAGAGCAAATGAACTTAGTTGATATCTACCAAACCTTTCATTGTACAGACAGAGAATACACTTTTTTTCCATCAGTACATGGAACCTTCTCTAGAACTGACCATGTTATAGGCCACAAGCCTTACCAAATTTTTAAAAATCAAAATAAGGGAGGAGATTAACCAAATTGAGACCAAGAGAACTGTACATAAAATCAGTGAATCAAAGAACTGGTTCTTTCTGAAAATCAACAAAATAGACTCCCCACTAGCCCAACTAATCAAAAAAGGAGGGAGAAAATACACATCAATAGCATCAGATACGAGAAAGCAAACATAACAACAGATACCTCAAACATACAGAGCACTATTATATGTGTACAAATCAGAAGACCTAGAAGAGAGGGATAGATTTTTGAACACATACAATCCACCAAAATTAATCAAGAAGTAATTAACAATCTAAACAGACCTATAACATGGACTGAAATTGGAACAGTAATTAAAGCCCTCCCAACCAAGAGAAGTCCGGGACCAGATGGCTTCACTGCTGAATTCTACCAAACGTTCCCAGAGGAACTGACCCCAATCCTCCGCAAGCTTTTCCAAACAACACAGAAAGAGAGGCAGTCCTTCCAAACTTTATAAAGCCATTATCACCTTAATACCAAAGCCAGATACAGAAACAACAGAAAAAGAGAACTACAGATCGATATCCTTGATGAACATAGACACAAAGATCCTCAATAAAACACTAGCCAACAGGATCCAACAGGACATTAGGCAGATCATTCACCCGGACCAGGTGGGATTCATCCCAGGCATGCAGGGATGGTTCAACATTCACAAGTCAATAAATGTGATACATCACATAAACTAATTGAAAAATAAAAACCACATGATCTTCTCAATAGATGCAGAGAAGGCATTTGATAATATCCAACACCACTAAATGCTGAAAACCCTAAGCAAGATAGGCATAGAAAGAACATTCTACAATACGATCAAAGCAATTTATGAAAAACCCAATGCCAGCATCATGCTAAAGGGGAAAGATTGGAAGGCTTTCCACTAAAATCTGAAACTAGACAGGGATGTCCACTGTCACCAGTACACTTCATTCAACAGGGTACTGGAAGTCCTTGCCAGAGTCATTAGGCAAGAAAAAGGAAATAAAGGAATCCAAACTGGAAACTGAAATTATCTCTATTTGCATATGACATGATTCTCTACATAGGAGAACCAAAAAAGTCAGTCAAGACACTACTGGAACTCACAAGAGACTTTGCCAGGGTAGAAGAATACAAAATTAATGAACACGAGTCAATGGCACTAGTGGACACAAATAATTCCATGGAAGAGAAAAAATTTTAAATAGTGGAGAGGAATCTTACATACACAGAAATTAAGCTAACTAAATATGTAGAAGACCTCTACAATGAAAACTATAAAACATTAAAAAAAGGAAATAGAAGACCTTGAAAAATAGAGAAATTTACCATGTTCCTGGACTGGAAGGATCAACACCATCAAAATGACCACATTAACAAAAGTAATATATAGATTCAATGTAATACCAATCAAAATCGCAACACATTCTTCTCAGAAATAGAAAAGAAGATACAAAACTTCATCTGAAAACACAAGACTACGAATAGCCAAAGCTATCCTGAAGAATAAAAACCAAGCTGGAGGAATCACAATTCCAGACCTCAAGACATAGTACAGAGCAGTGGTCATCAAAACAGTGTGGTACTGGTGCAGAAATAGGGAATAAGAAGAAACAGTGGAACAGAAGAGAAACACCAGAAGGGAGCCCACACATGTACAGTCAGCTAATCTTCGACAAGAAAACTGAAAACAATCCAGGGGAAAAGCCTGGTCTCTTCAACAAATGCTGTTGGGACAACTGGACAGCAGCTTGTAGAATTAAGACCCACACCTGCCACATTATAAAAACTCAGCTCTAGATGGTCCAAGGACCTAAATCTGCACCCAGAAACCTTCAAACTATTAAGGGAAAACATAGGAAGCACACTCCAAGAAATAGAAACAGGGAAAAATTTCTTAGAAAAGACGCCAAAAGCAAAGGCAATCAAAGCCAAAATGAACAAATGGGACTACATCAAACTAAAGAGCTTCTGTACAGCAAAGGAAACAATTAACAAAATGAAGAAGCAACCAACAGAATAGGAGAAAATTTTTGCACACTACACAAGTGATAGGAGACTAATATCCAGGATTTACAAAGAGCCTCAGAAACCCAGGGACAGCAAAAACCAACCAACCAAGCAAACAAAAAACCAACCCTGTGAAAAAATGGGCAAAGGAAATGAACAGACTTTTTCAAAAAAGCAAACACAAATGGTTAATAGACATATGAGAAGACGCCCAGGCTCCCTAGCCATCAGAGACACAAACAAAAACCACACTGAGAACATGCCTAACTCCAATGAGACTGGCCTACTTTTAGAACTCTGCTCACAACACCTGCTGGTGTGCACGTGGGGAGAAAGGCACCCTCCTTCACTGCTGGTGGGAGTGCAGGCCAGTACAACCACTATGGAAGTCAGTATGGAGAGTGCTTAGAGAATTACAAATTCCAAATAAGCCTGCCATATGACCCAACTATCCGCTCCTAGGAATATACCCAAAGGAAATGAAACCTGCATATGAGAAGGGGATCTGTAATCCTATGTTTACAGCAGCACAATCTACAACGGCAAAGACATGGAAACAATCAGATGTGTGTCCAAAGAGGAGTGGTTAAAGAAACTGTGGTACATCTACTCCGTGGAATATTACTCAGCCATTAAAAAGAATGAAATCATACCATTTGCGACTAGATGGTCCCAACCGGAGACTATTATGCTCAGTGAAATAAGTCAATCACCAAAGGACAAACACCACATGTTCTCTCTAACAGAAGGAAACCATCATGCAAATTGGGACGTATAGTGATGGAGTGATGGAGAGTGCCATATCCTGATGTGGAGACACAAAGCAACAGTTTACAAGGCACAACCCCAGCTGTAGATGGAGGTAGCAGACGCCACCTGTGCTAATTCCACAGAACAATACACAAACCCACATGAATTAGTTACAGAAGAGAGCGCCAGCGCAGCCAGGACGTGAGCCAACGCTTCCCCTCTGCATTATTCAATGTTTCATAATGAGGCCGTGTTGCTTTTATTACAGTTGCTTATTCAAAGTCCTTCAACAATTGGAACAAAACTTCTACACTCCTTTGTAAGATTAATAGCTCAACAATCCTCTTTGTACTAAAACTGAAATACTCCTGTCAGGTTTATTACTTCAGATTCAACTGGGCAGTTTTCAGTTTTCACAGTAAACCAAGTGGTGGCAATCTGTTCTACTTGTTAACCTTGCCAAGTCCTCCCAGCTCTGCAAGCACCCCGAAAGCTGGCAGACCCCACAAACACAAGTCCTCTCAGCTCTGCAAGCACCCCGAGAGCTGGCAGACCCCACAAACACAAGTCCTCCCAGCTCTGCAAGCACCCCGAAAGTTGGCAGACCCCACAAACACAAGTCCTCTCAGCTCTGCAAGCACCCCGAAAGTTGGCAGACCCCCACAAACACACGAAGTGCCTCACCTCGTCTACTCTGCACTGAAGCAAGAGGAGAGAAGAGACAGAAACAAGTTAGGACATGGAGAAGTCACACAGCAATCGACAAACTGCAGCATGGGGCACTGCCTGAGCCAGTCCCGCACTCCGAAGCATTACTGGTCATGATAGGGGATCCCACACAAGTGGAACTGAATGCTGACAGTACTGACCAAGCACGGCGGCATCCTCAGACATTCCCTTTGCACTTCAGAGGGGCTCCAGTACTTACTGATCTGATTCAAGGTTTCCTGCGGAATCCAACTCATGTCCACATCGTTCTGACTCGAGGTGCCCATTTCCACTTTCTGTATAGGCCTCTTACGCTAAGGGAAGACAGAAGCGCATGTCAAGAAAAGCCTCAGGCTTTTGTTTACTCTGTTAAGCCAGCTAGCAAGCCAACTGAACAGCTTCCCTCCACAGCAGTGAAGCAACACTGCCAGAAAGAAAAAGTGATGCAATCCCATTCTTTAGTTTTGCTCTAAAATTCTGAAAGCCACAAACATCTAAGAATCCATGTGACGTGAGGTACGTAGGCGACTGACTAGATTCTGGACCCAGAATCACTAAGCTTCATGCACTTAAGAACCAATGCAGTTATACCCAGTATATAAACTGGTAATAATGCCGCGATCTGCCCACCCCCCCAGGAGCCACGGCAGCGCCTTCTCTGGCTAGTGGCAAGATGACAGGGAAAGTAGGGGAAAGGACTGGACTCTCACCCTGGTCATCAAACAAGCTGTCAGAACACAAAGCCTTTCTATTTTTCAAATGAAAAAAACCTCTTACTTTGTCAAATACAAATTATTGCTTTAAGTTCAGTATTGGGGCAAACCATGTCGGACAGGTAACATCCATAAAACAAAATGAAGTCAGAGTCTGAGGACTAAGAACTGCAGTGGGACTTGGGTGCACAGCCAGGAGTGCAGACGCTGCTCTGGCCAGCTCTTCTTATGATATTACTCCGCAGCCATACCAAATCATCAGCTTAAACAAATCAGCTTGCTATAAAGTTTTCAAATGTAAAGCCCTTCTCCTGGCTGCGCTGGAAGCACCAGACCAAACGATTCCTGGTGTCGTCTGTGTGTACGACAACGTGAATCAAGTCAAGTCACACAGAGCAGTATGAGGTGGCACAGCGCCAGGGCCAGGTAAGCCCGAGGGAGAAGCCACGAAGGCGACTGCCTCTCCGAGCTCCGCGTCGCCTCTGCCAGCGTGCTGGGACGCGCTCAGCCGCATTACCTTTCTGGACTCCAGCAGCTGGTGAAGACCAACAAGCACCAGGAGCCCGAGGCCGGCGAGGAACATGTACATGAAGACTCTGCAGAGAGACAAATGGTGTTCACTCCCGAGAAATACCTCGGAAACCAGCACACCACTCTAACACATCAAACTTCATGTATGACCTTTCCAAATAATGACCCAAGCAGCAAGTTTTATCATTTTCCTTTAATTTGTACTTAAGAACACCAAAGACAATAAAAACAAGCAATTCTGTAATCTTTAATGAATAAAATTGGGCCTGGCACGTGGCCTAGTGGCTAAAGTCCTCGCCTTGAACGCACCGGGATCCCATATGGGCATTGGTTCTAATCCCGGCAGCTCCACTTCCCATCCAGCTATCTGCCTGTAGCCAGGGAAAGCAGATGAGGACGGCCCAAAGCCTTGGGACCCTGCACCCGTGTGGGAGACCCAGAAGAGCTCCTGGCTCCTGGCTTTGGATCAGTGCAGCTCCAGCCTTCGTGGCCACTTGGGGAGTGAATCAATGGACGGAAGATCTTCCGTCTGATGTTTCACTCCCCAAGTGAGCGCAATGGCCGATGCTATGCCGAAGCCAGGAGCCAGGAACAACTTCTGAGTCTCCCACACAGGTGCAGGGTCCCAAGGCTTTGGGCCGTCCTCGACTGCCTTCCCAGGCCACAAGCAGGAAGCTGGATGGGAAGTGGAGCTGCCGGGATTAGAACCAATGCCCATATGGGATCCCGGCGCGTTCAAGGCGAGGACTTTAGCTGATGGGCCATGATGCCGGGCCCCCAAAATAAATAAATCTTAAAAATTAAATTAAAATTTATGCTATATATTCAAAGATCACAGTTTAAAATAACTACAGTGCTTTTATCTGTTAAATCTTTTTAAAAATGTATTATTAAAAAGCAGAATTATGGAGACACTAGTTAACCCCCAAGAGCAGTGCTGACCACGCCAAAGCCAAGAGCCAGGAGCTCCACCCCGTCTCCACGTGGACACAGGAGCCTGAGCACCTGGGCCATCTCCCACTGCCCTCCCCTGCGCTTTAGCAGGGAGATGGACCCCAAGCGGAGCAGCCTGGACTTGAACCAGAGGCCACAGGCAGCAGCGGCAGCAAGGAGCTGATCCCTCAAGGCAAATATGCTGCAACAGCACTTCAGAGGCAGGAAACCCACCCTGGCTAAAGCATGGGGCAAAAGGAAGGAGGAGAGGAAGGACAGAGCGAGAGCGAGAACCATTACAAACATATGCCAATCAGTCACACCTCTTAGTTTGGCATTCACAGTTGCAAGAATCATGTAAAGCACAGAATTACTTGTAACGCATTCCCTTGTCACGGAAACAGCAGCAAGGCTTAAGCACAATGGCTTCACTTACGTCTCTCCGTCTAACCCATCCTCTCTTTCAATAACTGTAACTGTTTGATTGAAGACAGCATCTTGGAATACATTGCCCTGTTTCAAAAAGAAAAGATAAAACATTCTGAGTGGCATTAAGAACGAAAGCTTGCAAGGCGTGCTAAGAGAAGGACAGCTGTTGTTGGCACAGCGGAAGCCACAGGTCGGACTCTCCATTAGGGGCCTAAAACGCTGTCTCCAACTTGGCTCCAGTTACCCCCACTGTCCCCGCGGGGGAGGGTGAAGACAGGACAGGGAAGGAAACACGGTCACCGTCTCCCTTCCACCACTGACTCCGCTTGCCGTAAACTCAGAACACCGAGACGCACAGCAGCACACAGCAGCACGCCGTGTTCCAAAGTGACAGCGGGCTGGAGAGCAATGTCACTGTAGTGAATGGGCAGGTGATTTTCAGAACCAACTATCATTTGATATTCTTAGTATCAAGCTACTTTTTTTTTTTCCTGTTGTGATCTTCAAACAACTCTGTCCCTTCAACTTGGCTTCCATTTCCAGCAAACCAGAAGCCCCGGGGTGGTGCCCAGCCACACCAGAAACCCCGGGGCGGTGCCCAGCCACTCAGTACTCGGTGCTGCACACCAAGGCTGGGCCTTCTGCCACCACACAACTCAACTGTAATTACCGAGTTTCACTTAAAGTCCCTTCAACCTGAATTCTTCTACTGCAATTCCAGGATTCCTAATACATCGATGAAAATCAAATTCAGAATGGAACTGAAACTACACAGAAGCACATTAAATATTTTTGAGAAAAATAGAATTAAAGGCTAAGTTTGCCTTGGTACAAAAACTGGCGAAGTTCCTGCACAGTTTGTTCATCAGACACATTTTTCATAAACTTTTTGAACCACTCTTATATACATTATCTTTCACAACTTCTTAACACAAAACCCTTTCTTTTTTCAATCTGAAAAATGAAATTAGAGCAGGAAAGGAAAGCTATTTCCATCTACTGCTCTGTTCCCCTCAAAGGCCACCATGGCCAAGGCTGGGCCAGAGCACGCCCAAAGCACGGAGCTCTGTCCCCGTCTCCCGTGTGGGCAGCCGAGCTCAGGCACCGCAGGAGTATCTTCTGCTGCTTTTCCCCAAGCCATGAGCAGGGAGCTCTTTCAAGCCTCTCAAGCAGGTGCAGGGTCCCAAGGCTTTGGGCCGTCCTCCACTGCTTTCCCAGGCCACAAGCTGGGAGCTGGGAAGCAGGGCCGCAGGGATTAGAACCAATTCCCATATGGGATCCCAACATGTTCAAGGAAAGGATTTAACTACTAGGCTGTTGTGCTAAGCCCCTAAAATTATCTTTTAGTTCCATTTTCCCATAATCTTTTTGAAGTATACCATACATACCTGTTCATTAAACTATAGTGGGCCCAGCATGGTGGCCTAGTGGCTAAGGTCCTTGCCTTGTGTGCCCGGGTGGCCCCACTTCCCATCCAGCTCCCTGCTTGTAGCCTGGGAAGGCAGTCGAGGACGGCCCAATGCCTTGGGGTCCTGCACCTGTGTGGGAGACCTGGAAGAGGTTCCAGCCTCCTGGCTTCGGATCAGCTCAGCTCCACCCATTGTGGCCACTTGGGGAATGAATCATCAGACGAAGATCTTCCTCTCTGTCTCTCCTCCTCTCTGTATATCCGCCTTTCCAATAAAAGCAGCAAGGTTTATAGTTGGGTTTTATTTTATGAGCTCTGATGCTGGGTAGTTTTTAATTTGTATGTAATCAGCCAGTGACTGGAAAAGCACAAGAGAACTGATCAGCCAGCAGTGGGTCTGCAGGCGCCGCCATCCTGCTGTAGCTGTCATCCTGCCCACTCTTACAGGCACGCTCAGGCCTTCACCTCCCAGCTTGTGCCTCCCGAGCTCATTTTTAAAATATTTATCTTGTTGTTCAATCATTTAAGAGTGACACAGAGAAGGAAAAGCTTGCATATACTGATTCACTCTTCAAACGCCCACGGTGGCCAGGGCTGGTCTAGAGTAGGACCAGGAGCCGCAGCTCGGCTCTGCCAGGGGGCGGCCTTGGGCTCCCTTGCTGCTGAAACTATCTGAAAGGATCTGGTCGTGCCCTGTGTCGGAACTCTCGAGTGGGCACAGCGCAGGCGGCAGGAGGCCCCTGGCTGGCTTTGCATCCACCAGCCTCAGCAGCTCCACCACGTGGGCCGCACTCCTCGCCCTCTGAAGCCCCCGCCGCCAGCTCGCAGCGCCTCTCACAGCCCACTGCCCGTTTCCATCCAGCACTCCACTGGACTTCATTTCTGCCTCACTGCTGCTGTTCACTGAGATTTCAAGCACAAAATAGGCACTGGAAACAATCCCCACCCTGCCCCCACCTGACCCTATGGAGCCAGCGCGAGTGGAGGCCTTACACTGAAATCCTTGTAGTTGAGGTTGATGACCAGCCCGAAGGGCCGGCCACCCATGGGCTCTGCAGGGATGAAGGAGTACTCAAAAGTCGCTTGTCTCTGCGGTGGCACTATCGTGTTCAGAGGCAGAGCTGTGAAATTCTGTATATAAAACTGGTAGTCCTGAGGGTACCGGAAGGAGGCATCCAGGGACTCCACAATAAAATCTTCCGTGCCCTTGTTGGTGAAGCCCACCAGGAACTTCACAATGTTATTTGCTGGAAAATCTGAGAAACAAAATGGAGAGAGGAAAATTAGACCACCACTAGAGTACAAAGTGACAGGCAGACATGACTAATGGATTCTGGAGCCTTTCCTGCTGCATATGGACTCGGTTTCAGAACGCTTTCCACAAAGCACCCCAGTCACCCACTACCTAGCAAGTGTTTGATGGGAAGCCCCCATCATCCATACAGCAGCATTTAAAACTGAGGGATGAACGCGAATGAAATGCATGACAGAGCGGAGTTAGCAAGGCCAGGCTAGATGGCTGCACCCACCAGTTGGGACTAGGGGCTGACTGAGCAAAGCCAACTACAGCAATCCTGGTGAATGCCAAGGCTGGGGTGAGCTATGCCAGTCTGGGCTGCAGTATCTGTTGGCACATGTAAGATCCAGGGCTAGGAGCAGGCCGAGGAAGCTGAGGGACTCCCCTGCTAGGTGGCTATTTTTAATGGTGAGTGTGAGAGCTGTGACTGCGGGCAGGCTAGGCTGGCACACCACAGAGCCAAAGTGAGTGCAGGCCAGCTAGGCCAGGCTGTAGCACCTGCTGGCAAGGGCCAAGACTAGGTGCAAGCTCCCCTGGTGAGCACGAGAACCAGGGCTAGGGGGAGGCAGAGCTCAGAACAACAGCACCCATCAGCACACATGTGGTCAGGTCTGGAGGCTGGGCTGGGCTGAGCCACAGCACTGAGGTTGGCACAAGAGCCAACTGGGAAGAGGGCTAGGCCTGGCTAAGCTGCAGCTCAGGCTGGTAAGCGAAAAAACCAGGGCTGGGGCAAATCTGACGGGGTTACTGCGGGCCGCCCCAACCAGGTCAAGGAACTTGCTGGAATGTGAAAGGACTGGACCTGTGGTGGGATGATGGGCTGGGATAGGCCACAGCATCCCTCAGTTTGTGTGAGAGATGGGGCTGAGGCAGAACTCATCAGGCAGCTGCATCTACTGGTACAGGTGATGGGAGTGAACTGAGCCTGCACTAGCCAGCACACCGAAGAGTCAAGCCTGAGGTCGCTCCAGGGAAGAGTTCCCCGACTAGTTCACCGCCTCAAATCCCGGCCGGAGGGATGTGTGGTTTGCCCTTGGAGTGCAGGGAGTCGGCCTGGGCCTCCTCAGTTGCTGATGCGTGCAGTGCAGTGAGCAGCATGCCCGGATGCACATGGGAAACATGACCGCCAGCTCATCTAGGCCAGCAAGGAATGCAAGGGCCTCAGCACAGATGGAAGCAGAACGAGTTGGACAATTCTCCTTGCAAGCCTTGCAGCATGTTCCTGGGGATGTGGAAGCCCTAACCCAACAGACCTTGGAAACATTTTCTCAACCCCGGAGTGACAAAGGCGACAATCTCAGAACGACCAAAACCACTCAAGTAACCCTCTCAGAACATTTTTCCACACAGGGTCTCAAAATGACTGTCCCCCATCCCCAGGTGCCAATGTGGTCTGAGAACAAGGAACAGGTCCCCCGCCTGTTCCCCGCCCTGCAGACACAGAGAAAAAAACCCACAGACTAAAGCCATTTATCCCAACCACCTTCCTCCACACCTTGATTCCCCCCACTCAAACTGGAGGCCTTCGTGAAAATGCATCACAACAATGCAAAGAACATTAAAAACAGAATAAAAATGAAAAAGCACAATTTCTACCTCAACTGAATAGTTCTGAAATGCTGGCAACACTCCCTTATAGACATGAGCACTCATATGTATCAAGATATTTTAAAACGCCATTTGTACAGTATCTGTTGTGTAAGGACAGGTGGGCAGATGGTACCACGATCCAGGACAGGTGGGCAGATGGTACCATCATCAAGGACAGGGGGGCAGATGTTAACATGATCCAGGACAGGTGGGCAGATGGTACCATGATCCAGGACAGGTGGGCAGATGGTACCATCATCAAGGACAGGTGGGCAGATGGTACCACGATCCAGGACAGGTGGGCAGAGGGTACCACGATCCAGGACAGGTGGGCAGATGGTACCATGATCCAGGACAGGTGGGCAGATGGTACCATGATCCAGGACAGGTGGGCAGATGGTACCATCATCAAGGACAGGGGGGCAGATGTTAACATGATCCAGGACAGGGGGGCAGATGGTACCATGATCCAGGACAGGTGGGCAGATGGTACCATCATCAAGGACAGGTGGGCAGATGGTACCACGATCCAGGACAGGTGGGCAGATGGTACCACGATCCAGGACAGGGGGCAGGATGATAACATGATCAATTCCTGGCTCCGAGCAGCAGCTTTCTGATAACACTCTTGGGTTACCTTCTCCTTTCACGAACAAGATGGTTGTGTCTGCGCTTGGTGAAGCCTCAGGCTCACCGGGTACATCCTCTTCTTCCTTATCTTCTGTCTGAAAAAAACAACATGCCAAAGGGATTAGAGAAAAAACACAAGAAATTTTAAAACATAAACTTTGAGCTGTATTATCATACCAGTGATCAAAATGTCGGTTGCAGTGCATGTAACAGAACCCAGGCCCGGCTCTCGCCCCGAGTTCCCCTTCACACACACCCCGGGATAACCCAGCCCGGCTCTCGCCTTCAGCTCCCATTCACGCACACCCGGGATAACCCAGCCCGGCTCTCGCCCCGAGCTCCCATTCACGCACACCCGGGATAACCCAGCCCGGCTCTCGCCTTCAGCTCCCATTCACGCACACCCCGGGATAACCCAGCCCGGCTCTCGCCTTCAGCTCCCATTCACGCACACCCCGGGATAACCCAGCCCGGCTCTCGCCTTCAGCTCCCATTCACGCACACCCCGGGATAACCCAGCCCGGCTCTCGCCCCCTTCACACACACCCCGGGATAACCCAGCCCGGCTCTCGCCTTCAGCTCCCATTCACGCACACCCCGGGATAACCCAGCCCGGCTCTCGCCCCCTTCACACACACCCCGGGATAACCCAGCCCGGCTCTCGCCTTCAGCTCCCATTCACGCACACTCCGGGATAACCCAGCCCGGCTCTCGCCCCGAGCTCCCATTCACGCACACCCGGGATAACCCAGCCCGGCTCTCGCCCCGAGCTCCCCTTCACGCACACCCTGGGATAACCCAGCCCGGCTCTCGCCTTCAGCTCCCATTCACGCACACCCCGGGATAACCCAGCCCGGCTCTCGCCTTCAGCTCCCATTCACGCACACTCCGGGATAACCCAGCCCGGCTCTCGCCTTCAGCTCCCATTCACGCACACCCCGGGATAACCCAGCCCGGCTCTCGCCTTCAGCTCTCATTCACGCACACCCCGAGATAACTCAGCGCCTGTCACATGTTTCAGTTCTGGCTCTCCCAGCCCCAGCCATACTGGCACTTGAGGAACCAATCAGAGCCGAGGAGTGCTTCCCGTTTCCTAAATAAAATCTAAAGTAAGTATTTTAGTAGACAGTTGAGATAGATTATTCCCTTCCATGGCTTTGCTGGGATTCGTGGCATGGATTTCATCGACACTTTTAAGTAGGAATAAAACTCCTTGAGCATGAGGTGGCTGCTGTGGTGTAGCAGGCTGAACTACAACCATGCACACCCAATCCCATCCAGAGTGCTGGGCTAAGGCCCACGGCTCTGCACCCTGGGGGGGCCGTGGGTCCTGGGCCAATAACGGCTCCTGCTACCACGTGGGAAGCCTGAATTGGGGCCAGGCTTCTAGCCCGGACCTGATCCAGCCTGGCTGTTGCAACCACATGGGGGTGTAAACCAGTAGATAGAGTTCCTACAGCTTGACCCATCACTGCATAAGCAAGTGCTTGACTCCTCCAAAGGTCCCGAGAGCCAGGGCTGGCCCAGGGACGCCTCTTGGGTCTCCACACAGGCGGCAGGACCTCAGTACTTGGGCCATCCACCGCTGCTTTTCCAGATGTTAGCAGGGAGCTGGATTGGACCAGAACCAGCAGACGGACAAGGGATGCCAGCACTGGCACTGCAAATAGCATCTTAAGCCACAGCAGAGACCAAGATGCTTCCACTTCCTGATGCACTCGAGAGAATGTACTCACTCAAAACACATGCTCAATGGCTCTTCCACAGTATCGTTTAGTTTATACTTCTGGACACTCATTAGTAGGAAGAGGCCAGAGACGCGGAGGCTATATAGAACTATAAGCTGTAGGAACATGAAGATGTAACTAAAAAAACAGATAAGGGAATTCGCACCTAAGATGTTATTAATGGGTTCTGGAATCAAAACCCAAAATCCCTGGAACTACTCACAAGGCAAGTGCTCTGGAGCCCTGTGAAAACACGGGGTGAATTTCATTTTGGACCAATGCACCCTGAGGCCCCTAGGGCACCCACACAGAGCAGGACATTTGGACACGGATTTCAGAAGACAGGAGGCCCAGAACGAGAAAGGAGCATTGTCCATGTGCCACACGCAGAGTGGATGGCAGCAGGAAGGAAGGCCAGAGGGAGCTGACTCTGGCTCCAGGCCGGCCCAACCCCGGCCATGCCACGCTCTCTATCACTGCCTTAAGTAAGCAGATACACCCTTACAAAAAGGTAAAGCTTGTCAAGGCCAAGAAAGACTTGGAAACTATGCAGTAGCTACTTTGAGTATAGTCCCTTTTTAAAATAAAAAACATTTATTTCAAAAGCAAAGTGATAGCTGGAAATCTCCCACATTCTGACTCACTGGTCAGAGCCGGGCCAGGCCGATGCCATCAGCACCTGGAGGGCAGGGGCCCGAGCACTGCAGCCACCACCTGCTGCCTTCGCAGGTGCGTTAGCAGGAAGTAGGACCGGGCTCTGGACCAGAGCTTGGTGAGCAATGCTGCAGCCCCAGCAGCCGCCCAGCTGTGCCCACTGCCACCATCACTTCTACTTTGAGGCAGCAGCGCAGGAGCGCACATCGGGCACACGTCCAACAGCAGCGTGGCGGAGGCCAACTCCAGCAGGTGGGTCCCCGCCACCCACACAGCAGGTCCAGAGCGAGTGCCCAGCCCCAGCTGCTGCAAGTGTCCGGTGGTGGAGATGCAAGAACAGCTCTCTCTCCTGCCATTTCTTATCTCCCTGGCCTTTCAAATGAAACAGGAATTTTTAAAATGTATTTCTGTGTAAAAAGAAAAAATATTTTCAGGAAAAGATGGCAAAGTTCCACCCCAACCCATAGCTTTGGAGAGGAAAAGAAAAATGGGACAGAAAAGCCAAAAGTTAGGGATGGTCATACAGTGCTGCTATCTCAGACAGGAGCACGTTCGTGTCCCGGCTGCTCCACTTCCCGTCCAGCTCCCTGACTGTGGCCTGGGAAGGCAGCAGAGGACGGCCCACAGCCCTGGGACCCTGCACCCGCGTGGGGACCTGGAAAGGATCCTGGCTAGGCTCCTGGCTCTGGGCTTCCAAGTGGCTCAGCTTTGGCCACTGCAGCCGCATGGAGACTAAAGCAGCAGACAGAAGATCTCTGTATCTCCTTGTTTCTTCGTAAAATCAATCTGCCTTCCAAATACAAAAATATTTTTATTGGAAAGGCAGATTTACAGAAAGACAGAAAAAAAGGTCTTCCACCCACTGATTCACTTCCCACGTGGCTGCAATGGCCAGAGCTGAGCCAATCCAAAGTCAGGAGCCAGGAGCTTCTTCTGGGTCTCCCACGTGGGTGCAGGAGCCCAAGCACTTGGGCCGTCCTCCACCGCTTTCCCAAGCCACAGGCAGGGAGCTGTCTGGGCACTGGAGCACTGCGTGCAGGTGGAACATCAACCTTGTAGGCCAAAGCACTGACTTCAGTACCACACTTCTTAAAAGTGAGAACTTGAACTTCAACTTTCCATATGACAGTAATTCATTCTGCGGCAGGTGTTTGTCCTGATATGTGAGCTGTGGGCTGAGACATCTGCATGCCACGCTGAAGGCCCGGGCTGCCACTCTGCTCAGGTCCTTAATGCCCTTTCGGCTAACGCAGGCCCTGCGAGGCAGGCAGCGGGTGGCTCACACAGCTGGGTTGCTGGCTCCCATGCAGGAGACTGGATTGGACTCCCAGCACCTGGCCCAGAACACCGCAGCCCAAGTGTCTGGGAAACAAACTAGCAGATGGCAGTGCCTCCCAATTTTTGCTTCTCAGTTACAAAAATAACGACAACAGTAACAGCAATAAGCTGTAGAAGCGTGGCACTCCCATTGCCACATGGCACTAACCAAATCTGTAGGGTCATCTTCCTCTACCTCGGCCTCATCGTCTTCATCTTCAATGACTGAGTCTTCCACCGTTTCCTCATCTTCCGTCAGGTCTTGAGCCTCAGCTAAGGAACCTGAAAGAGGGTGTACAACACACACTGATGCCCTGCGAGCTGCGGGCAAAGCACTTTTCCCGGAGCAACCCATCTTCCACGAGACAACGCCAGACCACACCCAAGCGCACTGTATTACTCTGCCAACAGCTCCAACTGCTGCGCTATTTCACTGGCAGATGCAGCAAAAAGAGCCGCCCGGAAGCCCAAAGAACTTCCAGCAATTCTGTTAAGCTCCTAAGTGCAATCAGTGCCCGCAATCACATAAACCAACAAAAAATCACAACCTGAAGTCCACGCGCACACAGCATCCCCCAGGTCCAGGGCAGAGGCGGGCATCAGGGCCGACCACAGCACGCAGCTCTAGGCTGTCACATCCACGGTAGAAACTGTACCTCTAACCGCCAGTTACTGGTAGAAGCAGCATTCAACTTTCTGTAGGTGGCCTTAGTGTTTGAATGTGCAAATCACACACTCTTCGAGTGACATAAGTCACTCCAGCTACACGGAGCCTACTTCACACCAGACCCTACAAGCACGTCAGCTTTGGTGGCCCGCCAGCACTTCCTAGAGAACAATGATGTGGCAACGGTGTGCAGGGGCACGCGGGGCACCGCCTGGCACCGCGAGGCTTTCCAGCTTGGTTCCACCGGCTGTTAGGACCTCCGCCAGCAGCTTCCCCCGGCGTGACAGGGCTGTGTGCGGTTCCGCACCCCGCAAAGGGCTGGTCCGTGCGCCCCTGAGGACCACCCACCCCCTCGGCTGGGTCATCGCTCAGGGAATAAGACGTTTCCCTGTCTTGGCACTAACCAGGGAACAATTCTGTGCCAGAAAAGTACGGTGGTTTTTCAACTCAAAACAAAATCTGAGAAAATTTGATTCAAAGAGGTAATCATTCCTCATTAAAAAAATATTTACAAAATACTCAATTGTTTATAAATAATACTTTGAGAGTTCAGCCTAGCACGACTAAACCAAATTTTCTTCAAAAAGTTCGTTAAAACACAGACTGTCTTTAAAACTTAAGGAATGAATTCACGGACGGTTTTAGTTCATTCTGCCACGTGGGTTTTCTATGCATCAGACTGACCACTTCACACTCCTAAATGTGCCCATTACTGTGAGAGAAACGCATGCTAGCCAGCTTTGCAAGTCACACGCGTGAGGCGAGTGTCCACGGGTGCGCCCTGAGAACCCGCGGCGGACGGGGAAGGGGTCTGGAGGTCAGCACCGGGGAGCGGGAACCGGGCGCGCGAATGAATGGGGCCGCGGCAGGGACACGTCAGCGGGAGCGCGGGCCGGAGGGGAGGAGGGCAGGAGGGTCCGGCAGGGCAGGAGGGCCAGCAGGGGACGAGGGGCGGCAGGGCAGGAGGAAAGATGGGGGCAGCAAGGCCGGCAGGGCAGGAGGGGACGAGGGGCGACAGGGCAGCAGGGTCCGGCAGAACCAAGATGGGACGAGGGTCCGGCAGGGCAGTCAGGGCAGGCCGGGCTCCCCGACGGCCGAGCCTCACCTGGCGGGCCGCCCCGCTGCAGCACGGCGGGGACGAGCAGCAGCAGCAGCAGCAGCAGCAGCAGGCGGCGAAGCAGTCGCATGGCGGCCCGTCCGGTGCCCAGGCCGGCTTCGAGAACTCGCTAAGCGGCTACCGCGGTAATGGCGTTACAACCCATCCGGGCTTCAGGCGGGGAGGGCCGGGGCACGCAGCACGCACGCGCGCACGCACCCGCGACGTCGACGTGGCGGCTCCGGGCGCAGCGGCGGGACTGCCGGGAGTCACGTGGTCGTGTGGGCGGAGTTCTCGCGAGAGCCGTCCGCCGGGAGTAGGCGGGGCAGGCGCAGAGCGGAGTTCCGGCGGCGCTTCCGGTGACCCTAATGTCAGTCTGCGGGGCCCGACCCTGAGCGTGAGCCTCGCTTCCTGTGCGTGCTCCTCTCCGTCGAGGTCCTTGCCTGTGAGTTCGTCTATGCAGCCTGGGACATGACTTACCCGCAAGGAAGCGCACGTCATCGAGCAGCTTGCCCGGGACGGGTGAAGGCCAGCGAGGGGCGCCTGCTACACTGGGGCAGTCGGGCTGCGGCCGCACGCGCTGCGTGAGCTGTGCTGGCTGCTGGCCATGCCGAGTCGTCACCAGACGGGGGAGGGCGGCCAGTGCCGCGGCAGCAGGGGGGCTTCGCCGGTGCATGCCGCCACCGTGCTGCGGCCCCCAGGGCTGCCGCCCCTGCTCAGAGGTGCTGGAGCCTCACACAGATGGGAGAACTTCCGGTTTACGAGATTCAAACTGGACCCGGGCTCCTGGCATGTAATGCGTGTTTGCCTGTGTTGTATTAATCGGCCGTGAGGGTGAGAGCTGCAGAGTCGAGAAGATGACGGGTTAAGAATTCCCAGATGCGCAGAGTCCCACGTGGGCGGCGGCCATTGTCAGCACCTTCCAGGAGCTGGGGGCTGAGGCTGGGGCAGCTGGCTCTCCAATGAGGCTGCGTCCTGACCAACACAGCCTCCTGTCTGCTCCAGGGGGTTCAGGCCTTTGAGCTAACACCCCTGACAGCCAGCAGGAGCTCAGGAAGTAGCCGTTAAATCGAAGAGCACATGCTGCTGTCACATTATTTTCTCCATAAGTTAGCACCCTAGCTTGTAGACCTAATGAGATCAGAAAACACTCAGTAGAAACTCCAAAAGAAGTGGAGTTTTATATTATTTGCAAGCAAAAACTTAAATGCTGGGCCCAGCATGGTAGCCTAGTGGCTAAAGTCCTTACCTTGCATGCACCAGGATCCCATATGGGTGCTGGTTCTAATCCTGGCAGCTCCACTTCCCTCCCAGCTCCCTGCCTGTGGCCTGGGAAAGCAGTCGAGGACGGCCGAAAGCCTTGGGACCCTGCACCCACCTGCGGGGGAGACCCAGAAGAGGCTCCGGGCTCCTGGCTTTGGATCGGCTCAGCCCTGGCCATTGTGGCCACTTGGGGAATGAATCAGCGGACAGATCTCTGTCTCTCTTCCTCTCTGTGTATCTTTCCAATGATTAAAAACATTTTTAAAAATTCCACATAAAAGGCAGTTACAGATAAGAAATGTTGTGTCTGCTGGTTCACTCCGCAGTGGCCCCAGTGACTGTGGCCAGGCTGGTCTAAAGCCAGGAGCCAGGAACTCCATCCGTGTCCTGCACAGCTGCAGGGGCCCAAGCATTTGGGACGTGTCTTTGTCATCCCAGGTGTATTAGCAGGGAGCTGGACTGTAAGTGGAGCAGGCGAGCCTCAGACCTGCGCCCGTCGGGGATGCCAGCGCCGCAGGCAGAGGCTGCTGGTCCTGCAGCTCCACTTGGCATGGCAGGGAAGCTTCCAAGGGCTGCTGCCCGGTGCCGCTGCCCCCGCTCGGCTGCAGCCTGTAACACTAGGGCCCCAGTCCAGGCCCCTGCACACGGCAGGCGCGTTCATGACGGGGCATGAGCAAGTGAAAGGGTGGGTGTGAAGGTGTGGCAGCTGTCTGTACAGACTCCACCGGCCCCTGCACGTGGGGCCTGCTCTGGGCTTTCTCTGCATGGCTGGTCTGTGGGCTCCTCTTCTCTCCCCAGTCCCGGGGTTGCTCGCTGACCGCATGCAAGTCACCCCCACCCCGGCCGTAAAGATGCCCAGATGCCCGCTCCTTCCTCCGGGGCCAGCTTCGCAGGTGCAGCTCGGGTCATTGTGGCCACTTGAGGAGTGAACCAGAGGATGGAAGATCTTCCTCTCTGTCTTAAAAAAAAAAAACCCGAGATGCTGTTTGACATAGCAATGGCCAAAAAAGTTTAGTTTTTTTGTATTATACATCTAAGGAAAAAATTTCATCATCTTCTTGAGCAAAGGAGAAGCAAGGACGACTTCAGAGGGACTGGGCTCCTCAGGAGACATGGCATTTAGAACAGGTGCAATGGAACCAGGTGGGCACCTGCCACAAACCCACTGCTTTGCTGCCCCAGACACTGGTTCTGTCCTCCGGTTACAGTGACACAGGGCGTGCAGCCTCGCTGAGGCCTCCACCACTTACCACGTGGACCCTGTCCTCTGCTCAAAGACGGCCTCCACACTGGCCACTGGCTCTCCAGTGCAGTGAGTGTCCGCTGCTGTCCTTCCCGGCTCCCGTGGACACAGCAGTACACCTCCATGCTGCCTGTGATAAAGATGGCCTTGCCTTGGTGCTCAGCTCCTTCCTCTGCCTAGCTCATTCTCTGGCCTCTTGGTGTGTTCTGTCTGGGCAGATCTGAATGGTTCCACGCTACTCCTGTCCTCCTAGGTGAAGGCCTGCGTCCTTGAGCCAAGCACTTCCTGGGTTGCCCTTTCTCAGCCTGGCTGCCTTCTCCCCTGAGCCCTGGGTGCAGGCTTGCCACAGGCTTTCTGACAGCTGCTTCTGTTCTGTGAGGGGGCCTTAAGGTCACTCCCTTTATCAAAGCATTACAGAAAGAGCTGCAAGTCCTGAGACTAGATGTCCACCCTGCTGTCGGGGCCAGGTGTCCAGGGGTTGTCATGGAACTGGGCTGATGGCAGTGGGCGGCAGAGGACAAGAATGGAGGCTGTGGCCCCTCATCAGCAGCAGAGAAAAGGAGCATGCATGTTACAACGGGCGAGAGAGAATGAAAGAGGGCAGGAAGTAGCCCATGCAGACCATGTTCCCAGAGGCAAGGCAGATGAACACTCAACACAAGTATTATGGAGGCCACAGAAGTCAGGATCCGGGGTTTGGAACTGTGGCATAGCTGGCAAAGCTGCTGCCTGCAGTCTCAGCATCCCACATGGACTGTGCTTCCTATCCCAGCTGCTCCACTTCCAATCCAGCGCCCTGCTGCTGTGCCTAGGAAAAGCACAGAGTTAACCCTGAACTCAGTTTCTGAAAAATAACTCCAGCCTACATATTTTGACACCAAGTGTTCTTTCTGCTGCTCCACAGTCTTCCACACACTATAACTGAGGGAAGGCTGCAGGCAGAGCCCTGACAAAGGTCAGTCTGGGTGACCTTTCAGCTCTGCTTTGAAGGATGCGGTTTTGTTGTTGGTGCGTGCCCACATTGCTACAACAGCACCGTCCACTGCCCACCGCCAGCCTGGCATGTATGTCATGGCACCCCTGCTACCCTCCACCAGCCTGCCACATGTGTCACGGCACCCCCACTCCCCTCTACCAGCCTGCCACGCGTGTCATGGCACCCCTGCTACCCTCCACCAGCCTGCCACGCGTGTCATGGCACCCCTACTGCCCTCCACCAGCCTGCCACGCATGTCACGGCACCCCCACTGCCCTCTGCCAGCCTGCCACGCGTGTCACAGCACCCCCACTGCCCTCTGCCAGCCTGCCACGCGTGTCACAGCACCCCCACTCCCCTCTGCCAGCCTGCCACGCGTGTCATGGCACCCCTGCTACCCTCCACCAGCCTGCCACGCGTGTCACGGCACCCCCACTCCCCTCCACCAGCCTGCCACGCGTGTCATGGCACCCCCACTCCCCTCCACCAGCCTGCCACATGTGTCACTGTTAGGATGGTCTTTCAAACATGCCCATCTGACCAGTCACTGCTCTGTGTGCGAGTCTAGATTCACATCAGGCCCAGGTTCCCATGGCTTAGGCGTGGACCTTTGGCATGGCTGTGTTCTGGGCACTGCCTGTGGTTTGGGGAAGCAATGGTCTGGGCTCTCCCTGCCCTCCTGTCTGGGGTACGCACTGTGGCAGAGGGGAGGAAGCTGTCACAGTGTCCACGTGGATGGGGACAGCCACGCACAGCCTTAGCACAGCCTCAGGAGGTAATGTCCGCCCGTGTTCTTCACCTAATTTTTCTCCGGGTCTGTGGCATCTGACACAGAGCCTGTCACGTGGTTTACTGAAAGTCATTACTGTTTATTGCAAGAAAGACTGGGGCAGATTCAGCGTCCTTGAGCATCATGCTGAGGGAGGCACGTTTGTTCTCAGACAGCCTGTGGGTGAAAGATCACAAACGTCCCATGAGACACGTGTTCATCACTCCGCAAAGTGCTGCCTGCAGACAGCCTGTGCCCGCCCCTGCAGACAGCCTGTGCTCCATCCCTGCAGACAGCCTGTGCCCCGTCCCCGCAGACATCCTGTGCCCATCCCCGCAGACAGCCTGTGCCCATCCCTGCAGACAGCCTGTGCCCGTCCCTGCAGACAGCCTGTGCCCCATCCCTGCAGACAGCCTGTGCCCGCCCCTGCAGACAGCCTGTGCTCCATCCCTGCAGACATCCTGTGCCCATCCCTGCAGACAGCCTGTGCCCATCCCTGCAGACAGCCTGTGCCCGTCCCTGCAGACATCCTGTACTCCATCCCTGCAGACAGCCTGTGCCCATCCCTGCAGATAGCCTGTGCCCATCCCCGCAGACATCCTGTGCCCCATCCCTGCAGCCTGTGCCCGTCCCTGCAGACAGCCTGTGCCCCATCCCTGCAGACAGCCTGTGCCCCGTCCCTGCAGATAGCCTGTGCCCCGTCCCTGCAGACAGCCTGTGCCCATCCCCGCAGACATCCTGTGCCCCATCCCTGTAGCCTGTGCCCGTCCCTGCAGACAGCCTGTGCCCGTCCCCGCAGACAGCCTGTGCCCCATCCCTGCAGCCTGTGCCCGTCCCTGCAGACAGCCTGTGCCCATCCCTGCAGACAGCCTGTGCCCGTCCCTGCAGACAGCCTGTGCCCATCCCTGCAGACAGCCTGTGCCCATCCCCGCAGACATCCTGTGCCCCGTCCCTGCAGCCTGTGCCCCGTCCCTGCAGACAGCCTGTGCCCCGTCCCTGCAGACAGCCTGTGCCCCATCCCTGCAGACAGCCTGTGCCCCGTCCCTGCAGATAGCCTGTGCCCGTCCCTGCAGACAGCCTGTGCCCATCCCCGCAGACATCCTGTGCCCCATCCCTGCAGCCTGTGCCTGTCCCTGCAGACAGCCTGTGCCCGTCCCTGCAGACAGCCTGTGCCCATCCCTGCAGACAGCCTGTGCCCATCCCTGCAGATAGCCTGTGCCCATCCCCGCAGACATCCTGTGCCCCATCCCTGCAGCCTGTGCCCGTCCCTGCAGACAGCCTGTGCCCCATCCCTGCAGACAGCCTGTGCCCCGTCCCTGCAGATAGCCTGTGCCCCGTCCCTGCAGACAGCCTGTGCCCATCCCCGCAGACATCCTGTGCCCCATCCCTGTAGCCTGTGCCCGTCCCTGCAGACAGCCTGTGCCCGTCCCCGCAGACAGCCTGTGCCCCATCCCTGCAGCCTGTGCCCGTCCCTGCAGACAGCCTGTGCCCATCCCTGCAGACAGCCTGTGCCCGTCCCTGCAGACAGCCTGTGCCCATCCCTGCAGACAGCCTGTGCCCATCCCCGCAGACATCCTGTGCCCCGTCCCTGCAGCCTGTGCCCCGTCCCTGCAGACAGCCTGTGCCCCGTCCCTGCAGACAGCCTGTGCCCCATCCCTGCAGACAGCCTGTGCCCCGTCCCTGCAGATAGCCTGTGCCCGTCCCTGCAGACAGCCTGTGCCCATCCCCGCAGACATCCTGTGCCCCATCCCTGCAGCCTGTGCCTGTCCCTGCAGACAGCCTGTGCCCGTCCCTGCAGACAGCCTGTGCCCGTCCCCGCAGACAGCCTGTGCCCATCCCTGCAGACAGCCTGTGCCCATCCCCGCAGACATCCTGTGCCCATCCCTGCAGACAGCCTGTGCCCGTCCCTGCAGACAGCCTGTGCCCGTCCCTGCAGACAGCCTGTGCCCATCCCTGCAGACAGCCTGTGCCCGTCCCTGCAGACAGCCTGTGCCCGTCCCTGCAGACAGCCTGTGCCCGTCCCTGCAGACATCCTGTACCCCATCCCTGCAGACAGCCTGTGCCCGTCCCTGCAGACAGCCTGTGCCCGTCCCTGCAGACATCCTGTACCCCATCCCTGCAGACAGCCTGTGCCCCATCCCTGCAGCCTGTGCCCCATCCCTGCAGCCTGTGCCCCGTCCCTGCAGACAGCCTGTGCCCCATCCCTGCAGACAGCCTGTGCCCCGTCCCTGCAGACAGCCTGTGCCCATCCCCGCAGACATCCTGTGCCCCATCCCTGCAGCCTGTGCCTGTCCCTGCAGACAGCCTGTGCCCGTCCCTGCAGACAGCCTGTGCCTGTCCCTGCAGACAGCCTGTGCCCGTCCCTGCAGACAGCCTGTGCCCCATCCCTGCAGACAGCCTGTGCCCCGTCCCTGCAGACAGCCTGTGCCCATCCCCGCAGACATCCTGTGCCCCATCCCTGCAGCCTGTGCCTGTCCCTGCAGACAGCCTGTGCCCGTCCCTGCAAACAGCCTGTGCCTGTCCCTGCAGACAGCCTGTGCCCATCCCCGCAGACATCCTGTGCCCCATCCCTGCAGACAGCCTGTGCCCCATCCCTGCAGACAGCCTGTGCCCGTCCCTGCAGACAGCCTGTGCCCGTCCCTGCAGACAGCCTGTGCCCCATCCCTGCAGACAGCCTGTGCCCGTCCCCACAGACAGCCTGTGCCCTATCCCCGCAGACAGCCTGTGCCTGTCCCTGCAGACAGCCTGTGCCCGTCCCTGCAGACAGCCTGTGCCTGTCCCTGCAGACAGCCTGTGTCCGTCCCCACAGACAGCCTGTGCCCTATCCCTGCAGAGAGCCTGTGCCCATCCCCGCAGACATCCTGTGCCCCATCCCTGCAGCCTGTGCCCCATCCCTGCAGCCTGTGCCCGTCCCCACAGACAGCCTGTGCCCTATCCCCGCAGTGCTGTCTGCAGACAACCTGTGCCCGTCCCTGCAGATAACCTGTGCCCGTCCCTGCAGTCCTGCTTGGACAACCTGTGGCTCTGCTGCCCGCCGACTCCACATACTGCAGCATTCATCCTTGTCTCTCAACTGCCATCCTCCCTGCGACTCCTCATGAGACTTAGAGAATAAGGTCCTCCGAGAAGCTGAATCACTTTCAAAGCATTCCATGCTTTATTTGAAATACTGGCATGGCAGTAACACACTGCTTGTTTCTCAAAAGTTGAGGTAAGTTATGCTCTAACTCTTTGAGAAATTAACACAATTTATATCACAATTCAGACGAGACTCCTTACAGAATCCCTCAACAACCACAGCTTTCCTTGTATTTAGCATTTCCTTTGGTGCCAGACATATAGACTAGGTATATTTTGTTCTTGTGTTAACTACTTTGAGTACAACTTAACTTTGGTAAAGTAAGATAGTGTCTTCCTCCCACTTGGTAGCAGTTACACCTTCCGCCTGGCTGTGGGGTTCGGCGTCAGGGTCATCTAACTTTCTGCTGCATGTCACAGCTTGTGCTCCTTTGACTCAGCACTGTCGCAGTGGCCGTAACCAGGGTTTGCATCTCCGGGGCCAGTCCTCCCCTTCCACCTGCGTTTGTGTTCCAGAGGACTTCAGAGTCACTGTCTTTTGATGGTGTGAGGAAGAGCCTGCCTGCCCGGAAAGAAAAAGGATGTCCTGAAGGAAAAACAAAGAGTTGAAGCGCATCTCTGAAACCATGAGTCAGGTGCAGGCGTGTGGGTCAAGCGCCTCCCTGGGACACTGGCACCCCACACAGGATTGCCATGTTCAAGTCCTGGCTGTTCTGCACTCCCATCCTGCTTCCCGATGATGTGTCTGGGAATCTGGATAGTGCAGCCCCTGTGTTTGCGCTTCTGCCACCCATGTAGGAGACCTGGATCCCGTTCCTGGTTTCCGGCTTTTGCTTGCCCAGCCCTGGCTGCTGTGGACATTCTGGGGATGAACTAGTACACAGAAGACCTCACTTTGTATCGCCCTTTCTCTGCATCATCATTCTGCCTTCCAAATACAATTCAGAGAGAGAATTCCAGAGTACGCGGGAACAAAGCACTTCGCCAGTTAGGGTAGAATATGGACTATGTTAGATTGTTCACAATAGAGATCCAAAGTAGTTGCAGTTCTCTGGCATGTAAGCCTGTTCCCATGGTTTAACGTGTCATTAGTATGGACTGATCTAGGTAGTATACTTGGTATATGCCTCCTCCGGACTGGAGCAGGCCTTGTGGCACAGAGGGCTGAGTAGCCACGTTCAAGTCCCGGCTCCTCCATTTCCCATCTAGCTTCCTTTTGCTGTACATGTGCAAACAGCAGCACAGATGGGAAACCTGCCTGAGCACCAGTCCCTGGGCTCCGGCCTGAGCCAGCCCGAGCCAGCCCGAGCTAGCCCAAGCCATCCTGAGTCAGCCAGTGCCAGCCTGAACCAGTCTGAGCCAGCCCAAGCTAGCCCAAGTCAGCCTGAACCAGCCCGAGCCAGCCTGAGTCAGCCTGAGCCAGCCCGAGCTAGCCCAAGTCAGCCCAAAGCAGCCCGAGCCAGCCCGAGCCAGCCCGAGCCAGCCTGAGTCAGCCTGAGTCAGCCTGAGCCAGCCCGAGCTAGCCCAAGTCAGCCCAAACCAGCCCGAGCCAGCCCGAGCCAGCCTGAGCCAGCCCGAGCTGCCGTGGGTATTTGAAGAGTAGACAAGATAATGTCATACACAGTCTCTCTCTTTCTCTCTCCTTGTGTATATATATATCTTCCTCTGTTAATTCACCCAATAAAAATAACAAATATTTAAAAGAATAATTAATGTTTAATTTTTGGTCTTTTAAAAATCCAAATAACATAATTTCTCGGCCTTTTGTCTAAGATCAAGTGTAAAATCCAAACAACTTATAATTCCTTAAAACCATTTAACACCTATAAAGCAAAGGAAAAATGTTTTTACGTCTGTGGGAAAGATGAGCATTCATTCACGGAAACTCCTCCAGAGCCAACCGTGATCACATATGGTGAAGAGTACCAAGAATGTACAAGGGAGATGGGCCGCACGGCTAACGCTCACACTGGGTCTTTAGCATTTGTGGGGCTTTTGTTTTTTAAGATTTATTGATTTGAAAGAGGAAGAAATAGAGGAAAAGAGAGATGTTCCTCTCCCCTGATTCACTCTCCAAATGACCACAGCTGTTGGTCTGGAAGAGGCTGAGGCCAGGAACGTGGGCCACGACCTGCCACCTTCCCACGGGCGCTAGCAAGGTGGGCAGCAGGGCACGTGGGCCACGACCTGCCGCTTTTCCACGGGCGTTAGCAGGGTGGGCGGCAGGACCCAGACGTGTGGGCCATGACCTGCGCCTTCCCACGGGCGTTAGCAGGGTGGGCAGCAGGACCCAGACGTGTGGGCCATGACCTGCGCCTTCCCACGGGTGCTAGCAAGGGGCTGAGTTAGAAGCAGAACAGCTGGCATTCAAACCAACACTTAAACTGGAAATGCATGTCACAGATGGCAGTGTAACCCTCTGTGCCACAATGCCACCCCCTAAGTCTGTGTTTCAATCTTTCTCTTACCAAGGAACACTTAAAGGAGTGAAGTTGGAAGATTTTCATCTTCCTGGATCTGCTTGCCAGCTGTCAGATTATAGAAAAATGTAAAGCAAGAATGAAGACCTGTCTCACAGGGGGTGCGTGACATTCCATTGAAGGCATAGCAAGCAACTGGTGATGGTGTCCAGGTGGGCACAGTGGAAGGTGCCAAGGTGCCAGGAGATGTGTTCTGCAGAGGTGGAAAGGCTGAGCTGGGCCTGGCTGTGCTCTCTGCCCCCTGGACTCCGAGGGACTTGTTCCCCTTCGCGCTCGGCAGATGCCATTCCTGGCTTCACTGACACCAGGCCGGTGGGGCCTCCTGACCTTGAACCATGAACCTCCAAAGTGGGAGCTAAAATAACCCTTCTCCTTCATTAGCAGCCTGTTTTAGATATTTACATTACAGTGGCAGGAAACTAGATACAAAGGTTTTCCATCATGCATTTTCCATGAGTATCTTGAAAATTCCTTGTACTATCTTTCATGACACAAGTGCTTAGGGATACCAAGGTGAACATGAGACGTTCCCACACTCAAAGTCAAGTCCAAGACTTGCAGCAGGGAACAGTCAAGACGGGCCACAGGTGCTGTGCTGTCCAGGGGGGCGGTGTACCCTCCATGGAGGGAGCAATGATGGACAGCAGAGTGACGGCGCCGATGCCGGCACAAGGCTCTGAGTGGGAAAAAAGGAGCTGAGGATTATGTAGGTAGGAAAAACTGTTCAACTGGTAACAGAAAGGTACAGATATTAAAAAGTGTGTTTAGGAAACTGCAATTGAGGTTCTCAACTGCTGTCCCAATGACCACCCCACCCACCTTTAGGGAGCGTCCTACAAACTCTGCAAGGCTTTACATCAAAGAATCAGAATCCCCTGGGAAGCAGAGGCACCTAGGACACCACAAAACATCTCCCCACTTCCCTCCTCTCCACACTTGCTGGGCCTTAGGGCCAGCCAAGGACCAGGAGGCAGGCACGCATTGTCTAAAGTGACTCACTACACAGGAAACATACTTCTCTTTGTGAACTGGGATATTGGTCCCTAGGGAACAGGATCAGAAAGAACGCCATTTTGTCTCCCTGGTGTGTTCACCAACCGCAGAGGGTTTGTGCACAGAGCCTGTAGCATCAGACTCGGAGGCTCGGAGGCTCGTGTTGGGGTAGGAAGACATCGGACCGCGCAGCAGCCTTGGCTCAGGGCCTCTAGCATCCTTCAGAGGCCACCGCGAGTGGAGGGCTCCGCTCCAAGACTTACCTCGCACCTGCTTTACGTCAGCCCCAAAACAAGCATGTTCATAGAACTTAACATTTCTATCTTAAGTTGAGATGAGGAGGAAATTCATTACTTACAAATATCATATATTTTGAAGACACGATCGCTTTTTAAAAGAAGAGAAAGCTTACCTTGGTTTTCTGGCACTTTCTCTGGGTCTTCTCACTAAATCTTCCAAATATTTATTTCTCTCTTCCAAGCTAAGGGAAGAAAGAGTTGAATTCTATGACTAGACTGGAGTTTTCTACACTGATATTTTTGCTAGGTTCATTGGAAGATGTGAGCAGCTTAAGCTCGTGGTGGTCTAGGAATCTGCACAGCATGTGCCAGTTTATTACACGGCACTGCTCAATTCTTTGGAGCTACTCAAAGGTTTTTATCTATTTTACTCTCTGTACAGGTTGTTCTAGTGGTAAAGAAATAGGCAGTAGTAAATATATAAATGACCACTGATATTCTCTAGTGGTTTATAAACTGGCTTGCCCCGGGACTCAGCGGATGGAAGATCTGTCTGTCTCTCTCCGTCTCTCCATAACTCCTTCAAAATAAATAAATATATCTGAAAAACAAAGACAGAAAGACAGGGAGAAAAGAAAGAAGGGGAAGGGAATGAAAGGGAAAAACAGACACGGTTTGCATCATAATGCAGTATTACTCGGGCACACACACACAAGCTGAAGTCCTGCCGTTCACAGCAGCATAGATGGGATGGGAGACCATGATGGTAACTGAAAGAAGCCAAGCACAGCAAAGTCAACACTGCCTGGTCTCACTTCATGTGGAGTCTAAAACAAAGGAGAGCTCATGAAATTAAAAAAAAAAAACCAGTTACCAGAGCTTGGAATAGAAGGCTAACTAACGGGTACTAACTACAGTGAGAGAACAGTCAGGAGCTCGGGGTGACATGGTACGATGGCGCTCCAGGATGTAAATATGACAAGGAGCAGGTGTTTGGGGCCGCAGTGAAGACGCGGCTCGGGGTACCCTCATCCCAAGTCCTGGCTTCACACCTGGCACCGCCTGGCATCACACCTGGCATGCCCCTGACTCTACCTTCCTGCATATGCACACCCAGGAAGGGAGTGTGGGTCCTTGCCATCACGTGGGAGTTGTGGCCTCCCAATGCTGGACTGCCTCTATGTGGCTATTCCTGGCATTTAGAAAGTGAACCAGCAATTACAGATTCTCTCCGTGACACTCGTATAAATACTGTGTGTTCCCTTAAAAAAAAAAAAAGCCCAGAGGATAGGATTGTGAATGTTTTAATCATAGAGAAGTGTGAGATGTTTGAAAAGATATATTTACCCTCACTGGACATTATATAACATATACCTGTGTTGAAACATCACATTCTACCTCGCAAATATGTACACATTTTTACATATATTGTATTTTGCAATTTTAGGTATTAAAAAGTAAAATCCAAAGCATGTGAATACATCTGGAGAACAGTAAGTCAATACTATTGACTTATTAACGTGAAAAGGTAGACAGAGAGGAGACAGAGCGCCAGCCCCTCCATCTGCCTGTTTCTGCCCCAGACAGCTGCAGTGGCTGGAGCTGCCTTGGTCTGCGCCCGGGCCTCTGGCACAGGAGCAGGCGGCGTCAGGCCAGAGCCGGGAGCAGGAACTCCAGCCAGGTGGCCACTGGGAGCGGGAAGTGGGACGGGCAGCGGAGCAGCACTGAGCGGGGACAAGGGCACCCGCATTGTGCTTGGTCCCACCTGCCCAAAGCATGCGTTGTTATTTGTGCATTTCTGTTCTTTGTGAACAAAAACGTGGCTGCTATGTCCATGTTCTTTAAACATTTCAGGTGTTTCTAATTCCTTCACCATTCCTTAAACAGCAGAGGGCGCTCTAGGAAGGGAAGTGGGAAATCTGCTCTTTGACTCTATTCAAGCAGCCCAGGCACAGCTGTCTTACTTAAGAATGCCCTTAACTTATAAGGTTGCACACTCTCCCTTTTTGCAGGAGTCTGATAAATGAACCTAGAAGCCAGAGGGTAAAACCGGCTGGCGATCCCGCAGCGAGCTTCTTACAGTGCGATCTGGGAGCGCGAGCTCTGCAGCCGCTGGTCCGCACACCGGATGATCTCCTCGTACGACGTGACCTGAAAGCAAGCAGTCCAGGCAGCTCTCCTGGGGTGAACTCCGCACGGCGACTCAGCTCTAGCTTTTGCTTTTGCAAAAACTCTAAGTGCAAGTTCTGTTATTTGGCTACCATCAGTGTAAGTTTTACAGAAGGAGGAGTGACAATGGAGCGACGGCACGCATGCCCGTTCATGCAGACAAGCTGAGGCGCCCAAGGAGACGCCCGTGGTCAGCCCGCCGCCAGCCAGTTGTCTCCCACCCAGGTGGTATGTGGCAACCAGCACGCACTCTGTGTGGCTGCAGTCAGGGGAGCTGCTTTGGAGATGCAGAACTACAGAGAGACAAGGAGAGACAGAGAAATCATCCATACACTGGTTCATGCCTCAAATGGTTGCCATGGCCAGAGCTGAGTCAATCCAGGAGCCAGGACCCTCCTCCAGGTTTCCCAACTGGGTGCAGGGCCCATGGACTTGGGCCATCCATCTCTGCTTTCTCAGGTCCTAAGTAGGAAGCTAGATTGGGACATGAACAGGGGCCCATTTCAGGTGTAAGCTTAGCCCACTATGCCACGGTGTTGGCTGCTACATCAGTGAGATTTTACAGATAAGCTAGGAGCGGGCCTTTGATGCACAGCTCCTTGATTAGGACCTGCCTACTCTGCTTCCAGTGGTCCTTCTGCTATCACATATCTTGTAAAGGTTGTTCAAGTGCTTGGGTTTCTGCGACCATGTAGGAGACCCAGATGGAGTTCCTGGCTCTTGGTTTCAGTCTGGCGCAGTCCTGGCTCCTGTAGGCATTTGGGGAGTGAATCAGGGAATGTAAGATCTCTTTTTCTTCCTGTCTCTCTTTCATTTAAATTATATGGAAATAAATTTTTCAAAAACTTTTAAAAGTTAAAACCAAGCACTAGCTTGGCGAGGTTTGTGGTGACTCTGACAGCTAAGCAGCATCACCTGGAGCAGAATGGGGGATGGGCACTCACCGTGTTCTGGCCTGAGCCCGGCTAATGGGCTCCCAGAGGCCGTCTGCCTGTGACCATGAGGCCAACGGAAATGTGCCTCAGCATCCCTCCGATTCTTTTTGATTTCAAAATTCTCTTATTTTAATGCCCCACATACTTCTTAAAAGGCAGATATCTCGGTAAGGAAGTTTGTACCTTATTTATTAAGCTGCCTAAATATCTTTGATACTTGTCATTTTCTTCCATGAGTCTGCTGCAGCGGTCCTCTTTCGACTCAAGCAGGTATCCTAATCTTGTGATCTGTGGAGAAACACAGTACAGACACCAACCCAAAACTGCCAACAAAGCGGGACGCGGTTGCCAAGAACAAAGAACAGTCAGCTTGACCCCATGTTGACATTCCTTTAACCTGGATGGTATGAGCCGGATCCTGGTTGGACTGCACTTCCAACAGATGAAGAACCATTGTGGTGCGTTTTGAAGCAGCTTTGCAAATAACTGGACACCTGTCAGTGCACACACACATTTACCAGCCCCTAGCCCCTCTCCCTCCTTCCCATGCAGAACGCACACAAGGGCATACGTGATTCCACATGAAACAGCACTCCTGTCTGGCTTGATGATTCCTTTTGACAAACAGTCTCCCTTCTGCAAACAACTGCAAGTTTTCTTCCTTTTTTCCCCTTTATTAAAGCTTTACTTATTTGGGGCCCGTGCGGTGACTTAGCAAGTTAAGCCCCCATCTGTGGCACAGGAATTCCATATGGACCCCTGTTTATTGTCCCAGTTGCTCCACTTCTGATCCAACTTCTAACCCAGGTCCTTAGGGCCCTGAAGTCACGTGGGAGACCTGAAAGAAGCTCTTGGCCTTGGATCAGCTCAGCTCTAGCAGTGTGACCATTTGGGGTATGAATCTGTGGATGGAAGATCTATTTCTCTGTCTCTTCTTTGTGACATTTATTGAGTAGAGAGAGAGAGAGAGATTCTATATGCTTGCCCACATCCCAAATAGCTACAATGGCCAGGGCTGGGCCAAGTCAAAGCCAGGAACTTTATTTGGGTCTCCCACGTGAGTGACAGAAGCACAAGTACTTGAAGTAGGAAGTTTGTGTTAGCAGGGAGCTGGATTAGCCACGGAGCACCTCGGACTTGAACCAGGACCTGTACTGGTAGCCACTGTGCCACAACACTAGCACCATGGCTGAAACACAATTTTTTAAAGATTTGTTTTATTCATTTGAATGGCATAGTTACAGAGAGAAGAAAAAGGAGAGAGAGAGAGAATGAATCTATTTACTGATTCACTCCCAAATGGCTACAATAGCCAGGGTGGCCAGAGTGAAGCCAGAAGCTCATTCCAGGTCTTCCACGTGGCTGCAAGGGCCCAAGCACTTGGGCCATCTTTCATTGCTTTTTTCAGGACATTAATAGGGAGCTGGACTGAAAGTAGCATAGCTGGGACTTGAACCAAATCCAGGAGCCAAAAACTTCATTTGGGTCTCCCATCTGGGCAGCTGTTGGCTGCTACCTGCCACACACTGCCAGAGAGTAGGATTCGCCCAGGCGCCTGGCACTGCGGGGCCTTTCTGCTGCTATGTATACCCACGGAAATGAAGGATTTACTACGATTTGACACCCAGGCCGAGTCCCACCTCCCAGAGTGCCCTGCTGCATTTCACTCTGCATTTGCTCCATCGTTGAGTGTTTCATCTTCCACTGTGTGAGTGCCTTTCACCTGCCTCCTTTCTGCTGACTCCAGTGACCACAGCTCCCCACCTTCTGGATTTGTCGCCAGGTTGTCGCTCAGTGCGTCTCTGTGTGGTCTGGGTGAGCACTTCCTGTTCACTACTGCCTTGTCCCATGGGGCAGCAGGCTCCCCCTGCCCTGACTCACGGCTCACCTGTCATGGGGCTGAGAGTCACTCATCGCAAGATCCCTGTCAGTCTTGTGCCTAAAGGTTTCCTAACCATTACAGAGCTAGTTGAGATGACCTGTTTTATCCACTGGATGAAAATGCACCCTGTCTTCTGCCTCGAACAGCTCCCATCCTGCAGGGAGGCACCCTCCCTCATAAGTTGCTTGCTTTTTCTGAGATACGGATGGCACATCAGAGCCCAAGTGCTCCTGAAGTCTGCATGGTTCGTCTGACACTGCCATCTGCTCCACGGGTCTCACCCCAACGCTCACTGGTGTCACCGTGACTCCATCGCTGGGGCCTGCAGCCCAGCAGGTGCTGACTGAATGCTGTCTGCTCAAACAGTCTCCGTCGTCCATCTCCTTCACAAAGTCCCTATTCACACACTCGGAACTTTTCTCTCCTCTTACTCATTTCTAAGATTCATTTGGGGGCTGGGGCTGTGTTGTGGGCTAAGCCTCTGACTGTGGTGTTGGCATCCCATACACCTGGCTGCTGCATTTCCCATCCAGCTCCCTGCTCATGGCCTGGGAAAACAGCGGAGGATGGCCCAAGAGCTTGGGCCTCTGCACCCACGTGGGAGACCCGCAAGAGACCTCTGTTTCTGCCCACAATGCTGGCCCCTCTTTTCCCTCTGGAACTCCAGACTTTGGCAAACATCTCCTCTGTTGGCTGCAAGCGCTGCATGTCCCTTCTAAAAACCTTCTCCTTATTCCTTAAAAACAAAACTTTTTCTCTCCTAGAATTCTTAGAAGCAGGACTTGGATTTGATTTGGCTTTCCACCTTCACAGTGGTAGCACTGCTTAATCTCTTGTGGGAAGTCAATAATTACTTACCGAATGAAAAAAAATAAGGAATTAGAAAACAGAAAATCTTTGATCCATAGGTTTTTTCTTTCCCCTTAAGAATGAATAAGTGTATAATAAATCCAGAATAGAATGTGAATACATATTTCTCATCACACTGAGGTCCAACTGGACTGTGAGCCTGTAACTATTCAGACACTAGAACATTCTCCCATCTTCCCAACTCATCTTTAGACTGCTCCAAAGTCACCTTCGTTGAGGCTGTCACACCAACTACCAGGAAAGCATGCATGCCCTCTGTTACAGAAAACGGGACATACCCTGTCATGTGCATTCTGAAACAAATCCGAGTGCAGGAACCATACTGGACAATATTTAAGATTTCAAAAGTTCAGTTCCATGCCCCGGAGAAAGAGTCATCCTGACACCATGGCCGTGTGTGACTATGTAGATAAGCCAATTTTTGGAAGGTTAATTATTTCTTACGCTTGCTCACAACACAGGGTTGTGTCTAAAAATGATGCGAAGGCTAGCGAAGGCCTTTCTTACCAAGAAATCGAGCTCCTCGTTCAGGCTGCGGTGCTTATCCAGCGTGGTCCCCAAGAAGACAGGCAAATCCCTGACGCGCTTGGTCTCACTGTGATCCAAGTCTGTGACCTGACATAACACACACCGGTGACCACCTTCAACACGTTTACGCTCCTCGCAACTTCTGAGAATAAATACATTAGTGCTTTAAAAGTCAGGGACGAGTAATGGCCAGGATCACAGTGAAACTTCGAGCCAGGATTTCAACAAGTTTTCCAAAGGAACATAAATAATTGAAACTACATTTTGTATGTTAAACTCACCTCAAAGGCATGGTCTTGAAATGACTTCTCGTTAGCAATCATCTCTCTCAAGGTGGTGATTTTGTCTTTATGTTTCAGTAGCTACGGGAAAAAAAGCATTTTACATTTCAGCTACATTCTATTTCACGATGAAATTGAATGAATGAAACATACGACTTGTCAAAGGACACAGTTTCCCGTAGACACTCTGCTTGGTAAGAGGATTCATACAGCAGTCTTGGCACTGCCAGGCTTGGAAAGGCCTGCTGACAAGGCTGCCCTTGGCCTACACCTGCACACCACAGTGTGGGCAGGCTTCCACTATTCCCTGAGCGCCATGGCTCACTGGGCCTACCTACTGGCCCAAAGTGTATGGTTTATGCAAAGTACCTCCCATCTTTTGGAGGTCTGGAGTGTCTGGTACAATGCTACGTAGAGGGAACCAATGTGAATAGCTCCAATAAAACTCCCAGACATGCTTGGCACTGGATGACTTTCCCTGGCAGAGAATGCCAAAGGGACCCCTCAGGCTCCTGGGGCCGAGTCTCTGTCCTCAGGACAGCGTTCGTGGACCTCTCCCTGCGTTGGCTGTGTCCTCACTGAGGTGACCCCTCAGGCTGTTCGGCAAGGGGCAGCACAGTAAAGCAAATCTGACTCTCACAAAAAATTCGATTTTCAGGATTTGCTCTTTTTTTTTTTGAAATGGGCCCTTTCTAGCTTTATATTCATTTTTTTTTTTTAAAAAATGATTGATTGATTGATTGATTTTATTAATTGCATTGCATTATGTGACACAGTGTTATAAGCACTGGGATTCCCCCACCCCTCCCCGAGCCCTCTCCTCCTGGCGGAGTTCTCCACTTTGTTGCATTACCACAGTTCAAATTCAGTTGAGATTTCATTGGAAGTACTTACCAAGCATAAAGTCCAGCATCTTATTATCTTAGTGAGTTCGAGGAGTTGCTCTTTTTTAAAAAAAATTTTCTTCATATAGCGTACAGAATTTTTAGAATTAAGAATGGGTACAGTACCTCTTGATCCAAGCTTTTGTTTTTCAGATGGAAGCTCTTCAGTATCTGCAGCATCACATCGCTCACTCTCTCGCGCTCCCTGCAACGGCCAGCGTGCAGACTGATGAAGTCCTGAGGGAAGTGGTTTGGGAAACTGGATTGTCACGATGCTAAAGAGCGGGAGGAAGAACCTGCAAGTGAAGTAACCCTCCACTGCAAAATGCCTGGCCAAACCCAAGGGGCCGAGGCCACGGCAGGCTCCTCTCCTGAGCTGTTCTTGCCAAGACATCAAACCGAGGGCCATGAGGGAAGGACGCCTGTTGGCTCACATGCCCCCACAGTGCAGTTGCTGGCAAGGTGCTCTGTAACTGTAGGAACTCTACAGGCTGACAGTCACATGTTCATACCCTCCACCCCTTAGTCCAGCCAGTTCACAAATTCAAATGTTAAACAAATTGCTCTATCTGACTATGAAACACGGAGGCATCCCAACAACACCGAATTGCAGGTATTTCAAAGCTACTCAGAACAGAGGTACTTGTATCAATGTATTTAGGGGTCAAGAGAGCATGGTCTCGTATCTTGGTTCTGTCACTTAACCACGTGAGATTTTAGACAAGATACTCATACTCAAATACTGAAAAGCAGAGAGAGAGAGAACAAAGCAGCTCCCACGCAGTGGGTCATTCCCCAAGCCCTGTGACGATGCGGCTGGGCAGAAGCTGAGGGCGGAGAGCTCAGTGCAGGTCTCCCACGGGGGCGACAGGGACCCCACCAGCTGCTGCACCCCAGGGCGTGAAGCACCAGGAAGCCAGAAGCAGGAAGAGACGCAGAGTGTAACACAGGCTCTCTCACCTCAGAAACGGGGATGAGGATACCCCGATTGGTAGCCTAACTGCCAGCCCACACACCTGCCCTGGGGCTTTCGTTTGTTTCCCATGCTCAAACAAAACAAAAGCAAAAACTAGGCCAGGTGTGATGGCTCAGTGGCTAGATCCTCGCCTTGCATATGCCAGGATCCCATATGGGTGCCAGTTCAGGTCCCGGCTGCTCCACTTCCCATCCAGCTCCCCGCATGTGGCCTGGGAAAGCAGCAGAGGACGGCCCAAAGCCTTGGGACCCTACACCTGTATAGGAGACTCAGAAGAAGCTTCTGGCTCCTGGCTTTGGAAAACAGCATATGGAAGATACTTCTTTCTTTTCTTCTCTCTGTATATCTGCCTTTCCAATAAAAAGAAATATTTTTTAAAACCTGAATCTAAAGAATGGTCTAAGGATTGCACAATGTACTACACTAAAATCAAGCATTGGAAAGCTCAATCCCTCCAAAGGCAGCTCAGCAAGCCAGCAAATATTTGCCTATTGTTCTTATGGGGTCTTATTTTTAAAAATTTATTTTTTTATTGGAAAGTCAGACTTACAGAGAGAAGGAGAGACAAAGAAAGATCTTCCATCTCCTGATTCACTCCCCAGGCAGCCACAATAGCCAGAGCTGAGCCGATCTTAAGCCAGGAGCCTGAAGCCATGAACTTCCACTGGGTCTCCCACACCAGTACATAGTCCCAAGGACGTGGGCCATCCTCGACTGCTTTCCCAGGCCACAAGTAGGGAGCTGGATGGGAAGTGGAGCAGCAGGGACATGAACCCATGCCCGTATGGGATCCTGGCACATGCAAGGTAAAGACTTAAGCCACTAGGTTATTGCACCAGACCCAATACTTACCTATTGTGACCTTAGCCCTTTATTAGGAATTGGAACATAATTATACCATATCTCTGATCTGGGAGGGTCAGATTTGCGGCGAGACTTGGAGATACAGAATAAGCAAAGAAACATGTGCTGTGTTGGGCTGCGATGATCCTAGAGGTCTGACAGGGAAGCCGCAGCCAGCAAGGAGGCGTGAGCAGATACCTGAAACCCAGGCCAACACGGCGAGAAAGCAAACGGCTGAGTAGCAGCCGAGGGCAATGCCCACAGTCAGGAAGAACCTGTGCCGCATTTAAATTCAGACTTTGAGTCTGCATTTGTTTTTATTTAATTTCAAATGCAGAGAGTAGACAAACAGATCGTCCGTCTGTTAGTTCACTCCTCCAATGCCTGCACCAGCCAAGGCTGGGCGAAACCAGCACCGCACCCAGGTCTGCCAAGCTCAGTCACCGCTGCCACAGTAACCATCAGAAGCCCAGCAGCCACGACTCACCAGACACCACAACGCAAGAGGCAGACATTGCACACAATGACAGCATCCGTATGGCCCTGTATTCAAACTTTCTAAAGCAAAACTTTAGGGGCAAGCGCTAGGGCTGGTGGCTAAAATCTGGCTTGGAAGGGCCGGCATGGTGGCGTAGTTGGTGTCCCATGGGGGTGCCGGTTCTAGACCTGGCTGCTCCATTTCTGATCCAGCTTCTTGCTACTGGCCTGGGAAAGCAGTGAGAGGCCCCTGCAGCCGGGTGGGCAACCTAGAAGAAGCTCCTCACTCCCAGCCTCGAACCAGCCCCGTTCTAGTTGTTGTGGTCATTTAGGGATTGAGCCAGCACATGGCAGAGCGCTCTCTCTCTAACTCTTCCAAGTAAAATAAATAAACCTGTTAAAAGAAGAAGAAGAACAATTACAGCAACGAGGAGGAGGAGGAACAAAAGGAGAAGAAAAGAGAGGAGGAGCAGGAGGAGGAGGAGAGGAGCCGTAGAAGCTTTCACATCCCACAGCACAGTGCCTAGGTTTTCTGCTGTTGCATCCACCTTCCTATCGAAGCGACTCTGGGGGGCAGTGGAGACGGTTCAGGGCTGCGGACTCTGACTCCCGCACAGCAGATCCAGACTGAGATTCCGAGTGCCCAGCTGGCGCAGCCGCAGTCTGGTCCCGCCCCTAGGCTGGGGCCTCTGGGGAGTCATCCAGCATTGCTCTCACAGAGGTACAGAATCTGTGGGCTGGCACTTTGTCACCTGTGCAAAAAATTCTTATTCCGGAGGGGTTAAAAAAATTCGTACCCTAGTTATGCACCCGACAAATGCTGGTGCTCACATCAGCTGGCAGAAGCTGGCACTGGGGGGCTAATTCTGTCCAGTTAAACCACAGAAACACCTGGAGAGTGCATAATCCGGGAGTGGGAGAGGTCTGGGAGGGAAGTGGTAACTCCCATCATGCTTGGAGTGGCGAGATTGGCAGCGATTCATAACTGTTGAACTATAAAACCCCTTGAGCTAGACCCTCGGAGCATGCCCTACATCCGGGACCTGCGGTGGGTGAGAGACTGGGTGGGGCTTCTCCTTTAAAATCCCCTTTTACCTCAGATACATGAAGGAAACAATATGGAACTAATCGTGTTACCGATTTAAAAAAATGTTTGTTTTTTTTTAAAATGCTGGTGCTCAAGAAAATTTGGCTCAAACAGGAGAACAACTCCCCCGACTCACCGCAGCCTTTGCTTGCTCACTGTGGCTCTTGGACCTACGAGCTGTGTGCCCTTTCTCATGCTCTCTCACTGACGTTCCCAAGCAGCAATCACTTCCCCCTGTGGGACCAGAGAGCCTAAGCCACTTGGCAGCACAGCCAGCAAGCAGGAAGCCAGGACTTGCCGCCCAGCAGCGGCGACAGTGAAAACAACGAAGCACGCTCTTGAGGGTCCGGGAAAGCTGGAACCGCAACCGGACCCCTCACTGCCAAAAACGGCTGCATTTAAATCCTTCTCTCCGCTGCTCCTGTCCCCACTGGTCTAAGCTTTCCTTCCTACTTCTTTGGCCGGCCCTCTTTCCACCACTCTTCCTCCCGTTCTTCTTCCCGTACTTCCCTGTCTCCTTTCTGCCATCCTTCTTCCCGCCCTCCCCAGTCTTTCTCATCTGTCTTCGTCTAGTCTATCTATCTGTCTGTTGTCTGTCGCAGTCATCCTAGCCCTTGTCCGGCTTTTACCGGCTACTTTTATATCGTTCTTCACCAATCACTTCTCCCCGTGGGTCCACTTGGCGCTACGTGATAGGCCAGTAGCAATGACATAATCACAGCGGGGGCATTAGCCTATCCCTGTGACTTCCTGTTTACCTGCTGGCAGGACCAACTCCACCTCCTGGCCCTGGGCCACCCGCCATCTTGCAACATCCCCTCCTAATCCCAGGAGCGGCTTTAGCACCCTGCTCCCCGCTTCCCACAAGGACAAAGGCTGCCCCAAAGCACCTGCACTGTGTTAACGCGGATAAGCGAGGTGTACTACAGGAAAGGGTTACTTGACATCTTCATGTTCTATCTCACTGTCTTAGCCTACTGTGTTACCATAGACTTGGAGGGATCAGGTGTCGAGGCACAAGATGAGCAGGGTGGAAGAGGGGAAGAGCTGCTTGCTGTAGGGGTCTGTGTTTGGTGGTCCGCTTTGTTCTTCAGATTTTTTTTTCTGTGTCTCAGGCTTGATTCCACACCCGGTACTTCCTCCCCCTCCACTTAAGAGATGCAAATAAACAGCCGGTTTACCTGACACGTGAGAAGTCCTAACATGAGAGCCAGCAGGCTGTGGATTTGGGGGACCAGCTGAGTCCTCTTGGCATCTGGAGCATCCAGGCTCTCTTGGGCAGATGAGCGAGGCAGGAACACGTGAGAACGCATCACTCCTGCATCCTACACACACAATTCAGACTTGTCACACCTACGAGTCCTAGGGAGAGCTGGGGACAGATCTTACACTCAGGGATCCGCACAGCTTTCTGCTCTGGTGTCCTCTCCCACTCAAGAGCCTTTCAAGAAGTCTCTATCAAGATTTACTGCATTAAAATCACCATACTTACAAACATTTGTTTACTAATTCACTTAATAATACTTATTTTTCAACGTACTTTTTCATTACAAAAGTTAGATTTTCCTGGGGCTGATGTGGCATATGGGGTGAAACTGCCCCTGTGGTAACAGCATTCTGTAACTACACTGGTTGAGAAAGTTTGGAAGAGTAACAGGTGCTTGGGGGACTGGAATGGGGTTCCAGGCTCTTAGCTTTGGCCTGCCCAGGTTTCACCACTGTACCATTAAAAAAAATCCTATGTATTTTTATTGGAAAGGAAGATTTATAAGGAGAAGGAAAGACAGAGAGGAAGATCTTCCATCCATTGATTCACTCCCCAAGTGACTGCAATGTCCAAAGTTGAGTTGATTTGAAGCCAGGAGCCAGAAGCTTCTGGGTCTCTCACATTAGTACAAGGTTCCAAGGTCTTGGGCTGTCATTTGCTGCTTTCCCAGGTCACAAGCAGGGAGCTGGATGAGAAGTGGATCAGCCAGGACATGAAGTGGCACCCATAAAGAATCCTGGTGCTGGGCCCACCACAGTAGCCTAATGGTTAAAATCCTCCCCTTGCACATGCCGGTATCTGATATGGGCACCAGTGTGGAAGAACCAAAAGAGGCTCCGGGTTCCTGGCTTCAGCTCAGCTCAGCTCCAACATTACAGCCACTTGGGGAGTGAAACAGTGGATAGAAGATCTTTCTCTCTCTGCTTCCTTCTCTCTGTAAATCTGCTTTTCTGATAAGAAATACATAAGCAAGTCAACTGAGGTCTTTGTTTTGGCCAGGAGTTGTTCAGGTTAAGGTCTCTGGACCAGGGGCTTCAGTGAGTGCCTACTGCCAGCAGAAAAGCAACCCAGGCTGGCAGGCCTCCTGGCCTGAGAATGCCCACTCTGTGCTAACTATGCCACTATACAGCAGAGTTGTTTATTTGTTTTTTAAACTTATTTTTATTGGAAAGCCAGATACACAGAGAGGAAGAGAGACAGAGATCTTCTGTCCGCTGGTTCACTCCCCAAGTGACCACAATGGCCAAAGCTGAGTCGATCCATAGTTAGGAGCCAGAAGCTTCTTCTGGCTCTCCCACGCAGGTGCAGGGTCCCAAGGCTTTGGGCTGTCCTCTACTGCTTTCCCAGGCCACAGGCAGGGAGTGGGATGGGAAGCAGGGCAGCCAGGACATGAACAAGTGCCCATGTGGGATCCTGGAGTAAGCAAGGCTAGCACCCTAGGCCTAGGCTGTCACACTGCCCCCTCCTTTTTAAAGTTAAATGGGGAAGGCGTAGATGCTAGGCCAGGACAAGCCCCCTGCCCCGCTCCCAGGCGGGGGTGGAGGGCTGCAGATGGCCCAGGAAAGGGGGTCTGGGGACATGTTGGAGTGGGAGTGGCTGAGGCATGTGTGAAGAAGAGCAATGACTCTGGGGGTCTCCACAGACAGGGCCACTACACTTGCAGTAGGCTAGCCTGTTGAGACAGAGTGGTTTAAGTGGAAACTGAGGGCAAGGCACCCACCCATGTGGAACACCTGAGCTGGGCTCAAAGGAACTCCCTCCAACTGCCCCCACCCGCTGGCTCAGGATGGGCTGAACAAGGCTATAGCACCTGCTGGCAAATGCTGAGACTGAGGGCTAGCCATCTCACACTGGGCCATAGCATACACTGGCATGCATAAGATCCAAGGGGTCTGGTAGAGGTCTCGAAGGGGTCTGGTAGAGGAGCTTTGGGGACCCCTTGCTGAGCTGCTGCTTCCACTGCTGAGCTTGAGAGCCGGGACTGGGGACAGGCTAGTCCAGGGACAGGCTGGTCCAGAGGTAAGCTGGTCCAGTTGTGGGCTGGTCCAGGGGCAGGCTGGTCCAGAGGTAAGCTGGTCTAGGGGCAAGCTGGTCTAGGGGCAGGTTGATCCAGGGGTGGGCTGGTCCAGGGGCAGGCTGGTCCAGTGGTAAGCTGGTCCAGTTGTGGGCTGGTCCAGGGGCAGGCTGGTCCAGTGGTAAGCTGGTCTAGGGGCAAGCTGGTCTAGGGGCAGGTTGATCCAGGGGTGGGCTGGTCCAGGGGCAGGCTGGTCCAGTGGTAAGCTGGTCCAGTTGTGGGCTGGTCCAGGGGCAGGCTGGTCCAGAGGTAAGCTGGTCTAGGTGCAGGCTGGTCCAGGGGCAGGCTGGTCCAGGGATAAGCTGGTCTAGATGCAGGCTGGTCCAGGGGTAAGCTGGCCCAGGTGTGGGCTGGTCCAGGGGTAAGCTGGCCTAGGTGCAGGCTGGTCCAGGGGCAAGCTGGTCTAGGTGCAGGCTGGTCCAGGGGAAGGCTGGTCCAAAGGCAGGCTAGGCTGGGTTAGTCTTAAGCAACTGCTTTCAAGTGCCAGGACTTGGTAGAAGTCATGTCAGGTTGGCCTGCAGTATACTTGGTGGGTGAAAGATCTGAAGCTGGGAATAGGCCTGGTGGAGGAAACGTGAGTAATTCCCTGTTGGGCCGCAGCTCCCATTGGTGAGCCTGAGAGCCAGGGCTGCAGGGGCACCAGGCATTTGTTGGCATATGTGTGGGCCAGATCTGGAGGTGGGTTGGGCTGAACCAAGCTGCAGTACTGGAGAGGAAATGGGATGGACATACTAGGCTGCAGCACACACTGGCCTACTGGGGATTGCCCATGTGGGAGATCACCCCTGGATCTCTGCCCACCTAGCCCACAGGGGAGGCCATTGGCACACGGCACACTGTGTCCCTGGGAGAACCTCTGACAAGAGTCGCAACTAACAAAGACCCCAACATGACCCCAACACTGGGCATGCAGCAAGAGCATGCCAGTCTCTCTCTCTCTCTCTTTAATGAACTGTGCTAGGACTTCCTTTGTAAATAACTCTAGGAAGTCAAATGTTACATGAATCCTGCTTTTCAGCAGGTAACAGGGTTTGCCCTGAGACACAGCTCCCTGTGCTTCCTGACCTTTAACTTCATTGGAGGGTCCAGAGAGATAGACATGTCTGTTAGCCAGTCATAATGCTGTTGGGTGGAAGTACTGTTGGGACTGCCCTTCTGCCCACCCCCTCTTCCTATCCTATATAAGCTTGTGACTTCCCTAAAATAAATGGACATCCTTCAGCACCAGTTTATCTCCAGTATTTCTGCTGCAGAAGAACACTGTAGCCTGGACTGAAGACCCCCAAGATGCCCTGACTAAGCTGTGGCACCTGTGGATGTGTGTAAATACCAGGGCTGTGGCAGGCTGGGCTGAGCTAGACGGCAACACCTGTTGGTTGGGGCTGGGGTAGAGCTGACCAGGCAGCTGCATCCACTGCTAAGTGCACTGGCTGGTGCAGGCAACAATCTGACCCTATCCTGGCTGGAACACATAAGAGTTACATCTGAGGTCATCCCAGGTGAGGTTTCTTAGGGGACTCCCCAACTAGACCACTGAACTCAAACCCTGGTCATAGGGAAAAATCACAGGATGTGTGGTCTGACCTTGGAGTGCATGTATCAGGACTGGGCCTCGTGACAGCTGCTGAGGCCTGTGTGGTGGACAGCATGTCCAGGTACTCATGGGGGACATGAAAGCCAGCTCATTTAGGCCTGTCTCATCAGAGGATGGAAAGCAGAACAGATCGGACAACTCTGTTGGCCAAGCATGTTCCTGGGCCTGCTGGGTGCACTAAGGTGGACTTGGTCAGTCAGTAGACGTTGGAAAGATTTTCTCAGCTCTGGTGCAATGAAGCTGACAACATCTCAGATCTAGATCGCTCGAGTAGCATCCTCAGAACACTCTTCCCTGCACTGGAGTCTTGAAGGTATCATCAACGAATGTCACTCATTCGCAGGTGCTGTTGCAGTTTGATAGCAAGAAGTGGCCCCTTCCCCTCCCCCTGCGGGCACACCTACCTTCCCCTCCCCCTGCGGGCACACCTACCTTCCCCTCCCCCTGCGGACACACCTACCTTCCCCTCCCCCTGCAGACACACCTACCTTCCCCTGTGGACACACCTACCTTCCCCTCCCCCTGCAGACACACCTACCTTCCCCTGCGAACACACCTACCTTCCCCTCCCCCTGCAGACACACCTACCTTCCCCTCCCCCTGCGGGCACACCTACCTTCCCCTCCCCCTGCGGGCACACCTACCTTCCCCTTCCCCTGTGGACACACCTACCTTCCCCTTCCCCTGCGGGCACACCTACCTTCCCCTTCCCCTGTGGACACACCTACCTTCCCCTCCCCCTGCGGGCACACCTACCTTCCCCTGTGGGCACACCTACCTTCCCCTCCCCCTGCGGGCACACCTACCTTCCCCTCCCCCTGCGGGCACACCTACCTTCCCCTGTGGACACACCTACCTTCGCCTGTGGACACACCTACCTTCCCTTGCGGACACACCTACCTTCCCCTCCCCCTGCGGACACACCTACCTTCCCCTCCCCCTGCGGGCACACCTACCTTCCCCTGTGGACACACCTACCTTCCCCTGCGGACACACCTACCTTCCCCTCCCCCTGCGGACACACCTACCTTCCCCTCCCCCTGTGGGCACACCTACCTTCCTCAGTACCTGAACTCCCCCGTCTAATCAGAGGCCAACATGGGCAGGCATCTCTCTCAACTATGCAAATAATATTTTTTTAAAAAGATAAAAAATCATAACAATAATTAAATTGTTTTGAAACCTTCCCCCCCCCCAAAAAAAAGAAAATAAAATCCTTTCTCAATGGTAGCTTTGGAATTACCTAGGCTAATTACCTAAGAAGCACAGGTGGCTGCCATTGCCCCTGACCAACACGCCTCTGGACCAGTGCAGCACATCCCTTCTTGTCTGCTTCCTTTTTAACTTAGTAACTCTTACTGTGAACAATGACAGTTAAGTATCCTACGCAACAAACTTCCCATCAATACCTTGTTGATGCCTGCCTCCATCACGTCCTCCAGCTGCTCCTTCAGCTGAGCCATGTGCAACGTGGGGACGCCGCCGTTCTGCTCCTTGCTGCTTGCCACTGGCTGCTCAACTTGTGCATTTTCTCTTTGCACTTCCTCCACCTGCTGCTGGAGAGTTGGATTCTTAGTCCTTTCACTTCCACACACCAACTGCACATTTTTAACATGGGTCATCAATCTCTCAAGTCTAGATTTCAATTTCTGCCTTTCTTCCAGGTTTTTCTCCTCATGTTTCTGGAATTCCTCCCGTAAATAGAAGAACTCTCGTTCTGGAGTCTCTTTTTCCCTTTTCAACAAGTCCAGGTCAGAGGAGCCGACCTTCTCCGGCGTTCCTCTGGGATGCGGCGGCTTCTGCGCCCCTTCCTCTCGGATGACGAAGCCTTGGTCCAGCATTCCTCTGGGATGCGGCTTCTGCGCCCCTTCCTCTCGGATGACGAAGCCTTGGTCCGGCGTTCCTCTGGGATGCGGCTTCTGCGCCCCTTCCTCTTGGATGACGAAGCCTTGGTCCAGCGTTCCTCTGGGATGCGGCGGCTTCTCGGCTCCTTCCTCTTGGTCCGTCTGTGTGCACTGGTTTACAGAGATGTGTTTTGCTTGCATTTCAGTGAGGTGTCTTTCCTGCAGACGAATATAACTGACCTTGACCTTTTTGACTTCGAGTCGTAGAACTTCCCTCTCTTTCCTGGATTCCTGCAGATGTCTCTGGGTGTTGGCTAAAACCTCCTGCAGATTCTGCAGTGTCCTGTTAGCCTCATTCTTCTCTAGGATTAGGTTGTATTTGTCTTCGATTAATTCTTCGATGTTCTCCTTTAGCTTGTTGATGATGTCCACGAACCCTTGCTGCTTAGCAACCTTCACCTGCAGCTCTCTCACCTTCTTCTCCAAATACAGATTGCTGCACTGCAGGTCTTGGATGCGCACCTGCTGTCTTCTGTTGGTGTGTTTCAGCTTCTTTAACACTTCGTTTAACGCCATGTCCTCTTCTGCAGGCTGCAGGCTCTCCGAGCTCTGCTCCGTGTCAGGCGTCCTGCGGTCCTCGCCACTCCAGGAGATGCCCGCGAGAGGCCAGGCTGGCACAAGCTGTGCACCCCCCAGGCCCTCTGCTGTCGCCTTCTCCTGGGGCTGGGCCGGAGTCTGGGCTGTCTCTTCAGGGTTTTGCGTTTCTTTTGAAGCAACTTCAGCCTGTAAGTCACAGTAAACAAACATACAACAGGATTGTGGACTTTGTAATCATGCGGAGGTGGCCTTCAATCCTGGCTCCCTAATTCCTCAGCTGCCAGACAGCCGAATAGCTACTTCAGGAGGAAGAACTGAGAACGTAATACACAGAAATTGTTCCGTGCGCACACAGCAAAGCACAAGCAGCAAGTGCACGTCAGGAATTGTATCAGGTGACTGTAAGGAGAGAAAAGGAGCTGCAGCCAGTGCTGCAGTGCAGCTGAGCCGCCATCCGCAGTGCCAGCATCCTATCCGGGGCGGGTTCAAGTCCTGGCTGCTCCACTGCCCGTGCAGCTCCCTGCTCGTGCTCCTGTGAAAGGAACAGAAGATGCTCCAAGCGCTCAGGCCCTGCCGCTGCCTGCAAGGGCCAGGTGGAGCTGCTGGCTCCGGGCCGGCCTGGCCCTGGCTGCTGTTCCACTAGGGCAGAACACCCGTGGATGGCAATTCTCTGACTCTCCCTCTTGCTAACTCTCCCTCTCAAATAAGTAAATAAAACCTTTTCTTTTAAAAAAATTATTTTATTTTTATTGGAAAGGCAGATTTACAGAGACTAAGAGAAAGATCTTCCATCCACTGATTTACTCCCCAAGTGGCCACAATGGCTGGAACTGAGCTGATTCAAAGCTAGGAACCAGGAGCTTCTTATGGGTCTCCCAGGCAAGGGTTAGGGTCCCAAGGCCTGGGCTGTCCTCTACTGCTCTTCCAGACCACAAGCAGGCCAGGATACGAACTGGCACCCATATGGGATCTGGGTGTGTGCAAGGCGAGGACTTTAGCCACTAGGTCCATCAATAAAAATAGAGAGGGCCCCATAAATAAAACCTTTTAAAGAAAGAAAAGATAGGTGCTGATCCTGTGGCACAGTGAGTTAAGCCACTTGCAACGCCAGCATCTAGTGCCGGATTCCTGGTTCAAGTGCTGGCTTCTCTGCCTCTGAGCCGGCTCTCCGCCCACACACTGAGCATGTGGCAGAGGACGGCCGAGCACCGGGCCCTGCCACCCATGTGGGAGACCCAGATGGAGTGCTGTGCTTCTGGTTTCAGCAAGGCCAGCCATTGTCATTAAAGAATGATCCAGTAGGCACGAGATTTTTCTGTCTCTCCTTCTCTCTGTCTGTGTGACTCTGCTTTCAAATAAATAAACAAATACATCTTAAGGAGAAAAAAACCTGAAAATTTCAACTTTACTTAGTGTCATCATTTATCATGCAGTTTTTAAAAATTAATTTATTTTATAAGGAGACAGAAACTTTCTCTCTGCTGTTTCCCTTGCCAAATGGCTACAACATTTGAGGCTGGGCAGATCTTCCCTGGACATAGATGAAGTTTTATTTGACTTTAAATGAATTAAAACAAATAAACGCACCAATCACCCCCATGGACTTTAAGATGTTATCTGAATACTTTTAAAAAATTCCTCACTTAGGTTCCAGTGTGATAACTTATAGGCTAATCCTCTACCTCCAAGCATTGAGATCCTACATGGGTGCCAGTTCTTGTCCCGGCTGCTCCACTTCCCATCCAGCTCCCTGCCTGTGGCCTGGGAAAGCAGCAGAGGACAGCCCACAGCCCTGGGACCCTGCACCTGCGTGGGTGCAGCTCTTCATAGTTTCCAGGCTCCCTGCAGTTGCAGGTTTCCCAGATGTTTCTGCTACATGGAATGCTCTTCCCCCAGAGTTGCCTAAACTCTTGCTCATCCTGTAGAGCTCAAGTCAATGACCATTTCTCCAGGGAGGCCTTCCCCAGGGACCCCAACTGGGGCAGTATCCTCACCACGGATGCCCACTCTAGTTCTATTGACAACACTGCTGCATCTTTAGATTCACATTTTAAAGGTTTTATTATTTATTTTTATTGGAAAAGCAGATCATATTTAAGGAGAGAAGGAAAGAGAAAGATCTTCCATCCACTGTTTCACTTTCCAAATGGTCACAACAGCCAGAGCTGAGCTGATCCAAAGCAAGGAGCCAGGGTTGCCCCTGTGAGTGCAAAGTTCCAAGACTTTGGACCATCCTCTGCTGCCTTCCCAGGCCACAAGCATGGAGCTGGATGGGAAGTGGGGTAGCTGGGACACAAGCCAGTGGCCATGTGGGATGCTGGCATTTGGAAGGTGAGGATGGAGCCACTGAACCATCACAGCGGGCTCCTAATTTACTTTTTTGTGTGACTGGGCAACGTCTCTCTCCCTGGTGGACATTTTCCTGCCTCTCAGAGCCATGTTTTCATCTGCCTAATAAGATGCCCGGAGCACTGCTGAAAAACTGACTCCGGCCGGAATGGAGCAGTCCTGGAAACCCTGACTGAGCAGACAGAGTCACAAAGGAGATCCCCCCATCTGAGTTTGCTCCTCACATGTCCACAAACGCTAAGGCTGGGGAGTTCAGGCCTCGTTCAGGCCTCCCAGGTAGCAGTGCCAAGGGTCTGCTGCCTTCCAGAAGCTAGGACGAAAAGCAGATACTCTCGATATTGGGGGCCAGGCGTCTCAGCCAGTGTCCAGCCCTAAGCTGACTTTTTAAAATGCTGTTTTCCACCCATCAGCATGGGGAAGTCAAGTTCTTTGTCTTTTATTAAGTGTAATTTATTTCTTTTTTCTTATTTCAAAGAGGGAAGCAGAGAGAGTTTCCATTCATCGGCTCACTGTCCAAGTGACCACAATGTTGACACTGTCAGGAGCCAGCAGTGCCATCTGAGCGTCCCATCTGGGGTCAGGAAGCCACAGCCTTGGGCCACCATGTGTGGTCTGCCAGGGTGCACACGAGCGGGAAGCTGGCTCGGGAGCGGAGGCAGGATGTGGCCTGAGGCACTGCAGTCCACGGAAGCATGGCTTTCACCTGCAGCCTTAAAGCTCTCTTTTTAAGCTGCCATCTGCTTCCAGATGCAAGGTGTCTGAACTTTCTGAACAACCCTCTTATGCATGGATTTAAAACATCTTTACAGCAAGATAAACACATCCTTTAACTGTATCTTCCATAAAGTCTGTGAAGCCCGATAGGTGAACAGAACTGTCCACACTGGAAGCGAAGTGCAACGGCAGAAATCTTCTCACCGAATACACACTGAAAAGGAACTTGGATGTTTTGGTTCAGAGTACCGGACTTCACCCTGCTAGAACCTTCACTCATCTTAGGATTTGGCCCAGAATCGTTACATCAAAAAACAGCATGGTTTCCACGGTGGCAGAATTGCTTGTCAACAAAGTCAACATCATCTGGTTATGGTCTTAGGCACTAGTCCAGGGTCATGAGCATGGAAGCCATGCGTCCCCATCTATGTAATGCCCATCCGTGATTCAGCGGATGCTCACCCATCACCCCCTGGCTCCTGAGACGGGGTGCTGCGCTGTTGTGTAACCACTCCCCTCTCAAGGCCCACGGCAGGGAGGGGCTCTTGCCTGGTCACGTGCTTCTGTCGCTCTTCCACCCTGGCTCTCCGCCCCTCAACCACCCACAATCTCTCTGGCTTCCCACAGATCCAAGACAGGGAGCCCCTGAGCATGGCCCTGAGTGCCTGTGTTCCTCACCCTCTGTTCACTTGGCTGAGTCAGTGAAGAAGCAAATGCCAAGATTCTTTGAATTTCTGATGTGTGTACGTTCAAGAACCCGTGGAGTGCTGAAGCCTAGCAGTGATGGAATGTGGACAGAGAAGCCAGGAAAAGGTGGAGGTTTGCAGTTTCCTAAGTGTGTCCCGGTTGTCTCTTAGGATTCATTTACATTGCTGGGGAAGCTGGCACATAGGTCTGCAGTTTATTAGATGGACTTGATGGTGAAGGTCATTTGTCCCTCTCAGGGTTTCGATCCAGAGTGGACTGACACAGTGGGCACTGTCATTGCCAAGCTGGTCAGTGAAGACTCCTTAGTACATCCTAGCCTGGTCTGGCTCTCTCTCGCACCATACAGTCTTTCCTTGTCTTACAATGTAATCAGCACTCCTTCCTCTTCTTGGCCTTTCCTTTTCTATAAATTCCAGGAGTACCAGTTGAATCAACAAATACAAAAGTCTGCTAAATTCAGGGCACCATGTAGATGGTGTGGGGCACAAGGAGAAATAAGACAGATCCCCATCCTCACAAAGAAATGGCCATTTGGTTGAGTCAATCCCTAGATATGGAGTTGATTTAATCAGGAAAATCAATTTCTGAATTAAGATCTTAAGGTTAACTTTTGCTAGAGAAGCAAAGTGTTGACTGGAATTTAGTGCTATGTTGAAGACTCAGATCATCTCCAGGTACGATATTTGTCTAAAAACCCACACACCCTTTCTTAGCCCACAAATCAGTGACCATCGACCATCTTACCTCCTCTGCTTTGTCACTAACTCTCAGATCATGCAGGTCAAAGCGATCTGTGCCATAAGCTGATCCTTCAACATTATAGTAACCGTCATTCTCATAGAAGCAGCTCTGTGGTCGCTCTGGACGGAGGGCCGACTCCCTGGCAGCACAGCCCGCCAGGGGCTGTTCTGTGAAGCTCCATGATTCTTCATCGCAGCAGATGAGAGCTGGGCTGCTGGGAGATCGTCTGGCACATTCCTTAAGAAATGTATCATTTTTTGTTGCAATGCTAGTCTCTTCGGGGTCTTCTTGTTCCAATGCATCCTGCTTTATGTAAATGTCTTCCACATAACTGCACCCCAGGTTTTGCGGCTCTGGCTCCTCCACATGGTAGAAGCCTTCTGTCAGATGCTGAGGCACTGTTGTTTTATCAGGAAACACCTCTGCCCAGTGAGCCTCGCAGAGGGGCCCCAGGGGAGGATGGCTGGCGTGCACTGGATGAATGTGCACACGCTGGGAGCAGTCTCCAAGGTAAGCGCCTGAAAATGAGAAGGTAGAAATGAGTTTAGTTACAGTGACAACAGCAACTCTGCCTTCTAGGAGGCAAGGATTATGCCATGCGTATTTGCTGTGTGAATTTCAGCATGGCTCTGCAGCTGGCAAATGCAGCAAAGCGACCGGGGCCGGGGAAAGGGTGTCCTCCACAGACCACCACGGGGCTCAGTGCACATGGCTCAGTCCCCACAGACCACCAAGGGACGCTCAGTGCACACGGCTCAGTCCCCACAGACCACCACGGGGCTCAGTGCACACGGCTCAGTCCTCACAGACCAACATGGGGCTCAGTGCACACGGCTCAGTCCTCACAGATCACCACGGGGCTCAGTGCGCACGGCTCAGTCCCCACAGACCACCAAGGGACGCTCAGTGCACACGGCTCAGTCCCCACAGACCACCACGGGGCTCAGTGCACACGGCTCAGTCCTCACAGACCAACATGGGGCTCAGTGCACACGGCTCAGTCCCTCACAGATCACCACGGGGCTCAGTGCACACGGCTCAGTCCCCACAGACCATCAAGGGACGCTCAGTGCGCACGGCTCAGTCCCCATAGACCACCACACGGTCAGTGCGCACGGCTCAGTCCCCACAGATCACCACAGGACTCAGTGCACACGGCTCAGTCTCCACAGATCACCACACGGTCAGTGCACACGGCTCAGTCCCACAGATCACCACAGGGTCAGTGCGCACGGCTCAGTCCCCACAGATCACCACGGGGCTCAGTGCACACGGCTCAGTCCCCACAGATCACCACGGGGCTCAGTGCACATGGCTCAGTCCCCACAGACCACCACAGGGTCAGTGCACATGGCTCAGTCCCCACAGATCACCACGGGGCTCAGTGCGCACGGCTCAGTCCCCACAGATCACCACGGGCTCAGTGCACACGGCTCAGTCCCCACAGATCACCACAGGGTCAGTGTGCACGGCTCAGTCCCCACAGATCACTACAGGGTCAGTGCACACGGCTCAGTCCCCACAGATCACCACGGGGCTCAGTGCGCACGGCTCAGTCCCCACAGATCACCACAGGGTCAGTGCACACGGCTCAGTCCCCACAGATCACTACAGGGTCAGTGCACACGGCTCAGTCCCCACAGATCACCACGGGGCTCAGTGCACACGGCTCAGTCCTCACAGACCACCACGGGGCTCAGTGCGCACGGCTCAGTCCCACAGACCACCACAGGGTCAGTGCACACGGCTCAGGAGAAACAGCATAGGACAGATCCACTTCCCTCCTCGGACTGTGCTTTTTAGATGTGTTAATTAGTACAAAGACAGGATGCAAAAGCTGTTCACGCTCATAATTCTAGGGATTGGTCCTGTTACTCCTCCTATTTTACAGGCAAGGAAACTATTAATGCAAATGATGTATTGACTATTGATGACAATTGTCAGTCACTAACTAAAGTGGCTGAATCGCAGCACAGCTCCATGTCCACAGCACTTCCTTTAGATGCTTCCCTGCACTCTTTCTCCATAGGACAGACTGTCCCTAGGTGACGCATACCAAAAATTCAGAGATGAGAACGAACTGAACCTTAACAGAATGATCCATCACTCCCCACCCCGCCCAGAGATGCCTCTGTGTTACAGCCTGCGTGAAGGCACCCTTTTTTAATTAAATTAATTATTTGATGATGATTACAGGGCTGAGCAGGGTGGGAAGAATCAGGGAAAAGTGGGTGAAATCATTCTAATAGTCATTTCATTTCTTCTCTATTTCTTCTTGTGGGGGGGGGATGGGAAGGGGAGAGATAAACAGGAAAGCCACACCCAGCCTTCCAGGGGTGGGGAACCACTACCCAGTATCAACCCAGGGTCCCGCTGTCGTACATGTTCTGTGGGTTCTGACCGAGTGGTCTGGATAATTCTGAAATGCTGGCGATTTTGCTGGCCCAAGGTGAGGTAACCCTCCCACTGTCCACTGGCTGACACAGTCGACCTCAAGTCTCCACTCACCCAAACTTTTGCTGTCCTTGTTTGCAGGGGTAGTTGTCCGATTTGCTCTGTCCTCCTTCCTCTGCTGTGGTACCAAATAGGCTGCCATATTCTCCATGTGCGTTAGGGTCTACGTCCACTACTATGCCTTTTTCACTCGCAGGCAGGTTCAGGGACTATGGCCAGGTGATGTGAGCCCTGCAGATCCCCAGCCCTGGGGCTCACGAACCCAGCAGCCCACAGCTCAGGTGTGCCAAGGGACTAGGGCCAAGCGACCCAAGCCCTCAGGATCCTCCGCCCCCGGGGCTCATTAACCTGGCATCTACCTGGTACGCAGGTTCCAGGATCTGGGCCAGGCGACCTGAGCCCCGCCCTCAGCCATCCCCTACCCTCTGGGGTTCATGAACCTGGCATCCACCTGGCAGGCAGGACCCAGAACTTAAGGCCAGGTGACCCAAGTCCCTCCAGATCCCCTGCCCCTGGGGCTCATGAACCCAGCATCCACCTGGTAGACAGGCTCCAGGACCTGGACCAGGTGACCTGAGCCCCCACGGATCCGCTGCTCCTGGGGTTCATGGACCTGGGCCAGGCAACCCAAGCCTCCCCATCCCCTGCTCCTGGGGCTCATGGAAGGCACCCTTTCTCTCCATTTTCTCCTACTTGTACAACTCCTTTAAGCATTAAGTCCCAGACATTCGTATTTCTAACTGCTGTCTCAGCAATTTCTTTCCCAGCATCCCTAGATTCAAAGAAACAACTACCAGCTCCATTTATTAAGCAGGTAGGTGCCCAGAAGTATCTGTCCGAACAACTTAGCTCTGGGAAAATACATACAAACTAAAAGGCAGATGTTTCCGTTTTTGGCAACCACACCGCTTGCCTCTGGACGGCATCTCAGCGTGGGGTTACTGGACAGCCCCTCACTCTCCAGCACACGCTAATTCCACAGGAACTCTTATTATAGCAACTGAGAAAAACCCAGCATTGCAAATCCAGCCTCCTATAAAACAGTAAATATTACTAGAACAGTGAGCTACCTGAGCTGGAAGTCTGTGGAGCGTCACGGATGTCCAGTGCGGTTGTTTCTCTGGAATCTCAGAGAGCGACTGGTTAAGTCCCAGCCCGCCTTGCTGGCGTCCCATATGGGCATTCCACTTCTGACCCACTGCCCCATTAGTGTAGCTGGGGAGGCAGAGGATAGCGGGAGAAGCACTTGAGTCCCTGAACCCACGTGGAGACCCAACGGAGTTCCAGGCTCCTGACTTCAGCTTGGCTGGCTCCGGCCACTGTGGCCACTTGGGGAATGGACCCGTGACTCAGCTCACTCTTTCTCCAGCTCCCTCTTTCTCTGTATAACTACCTTCCACGTAAATTATCTTTTTAAAAGATTTACTTCTTTGAAAGTCAGAGTTACAAACACAGAGAGGAAGAAAAAGAGAACCTCCACTTGCTCACCACACACCCCAAATTCCCACAACAGCCAGGATGAAGCCAGGAGCCAGGAGCTACCCTAGGGCTGCAGGGCCCAGCACTAGCCAGGACGAAGCCAGGAGCCAGGAGCCCCCACGTGGGTGCAGGGCCCGTCCCATAGGCAGAGCCAGTTCTTTTTTTTTTTTTTTTTTAAGATTTATTTATTTATTGGAAAGTCAGATATACAAAGAGGAGGAGAGACAGAGAGGAAGATCTTCCGTCTGATGATTCACTCCCCAAGTGAGCACAATGGCCGATGCTATGCCGATCTGAAGCCAGGATCCAGGAACTTCTTCCGGGTCTCCCACATGGGTGCAGGGTCCCAAAGTTTTGGGCTGTCCTCGACTGCCTTCCTGGCCACAAGCAGGGAGCTGGATGGGAAGTGGAGCTGCCAGGATTAGAACCGGCGCCCATAAGGGATCCTGGCATGCTCAAGGTGAGGACTTTAGCCTAGGCCACGCCGCCAGGCCCCAGAGCCAGTTCTTGTTCTGGTTACGTCACTTCCCTTCCAGCTCCTTGCTTGTGGCCTGGGAAAGCAGTGGAGGATGGCTCAGGTCTTTGGGCCCTTGCACCCATGTGGGATACCTGGAAGAAGTTCCTGGATCCTGGCTTCAGATTGGCTCAGTTCCGGCCAGTAAGAACTGAGACTTGGGCAGGCTGGGCCAGATTTCAGAACCTGCTGGCAAGCGTCGAGACTGGAAGCAGGTCATGCCAGGCTACATCACAACACCTGTTGCCACATGCAAGATGCGAGGATGTGAGGGTGTGGGAGGGGAACTCTGGGGGCTCCCTGCTAGACCACTGCTCCCACTAGTGAGCCTGGGAGCTGGACTTGGGTGGTCAGGCCAGGCAGGACTGCAGCACCTGCGGGCATGTGTGTGGGCTCGTGTAAGCCAACAGTGGGCAGTGAGTACCTCAGCAGAAGACGGGAAGCAGAGCAGGTCGCACAACTCTCCTAGCTAGGCTCTGCAGCAAATGTCTAGACTTGGTCAGCCAACAGATCCTACGTTTTCTCAACCCTGGTGCAATGAAGCTGATGACATCTCGTAACTATCAAGACCATTCAAGTAGCACCCTTACAACATTCTACACACTGAGGTCTCCCAGGTGACATCAAGTGGCCATTTCCACACCCAGGCACCATGTAGTCCGACAGTAAGCAGTTCCTTCAGCCCACGGACACAGGGGGTGCTCTTCCCTCGGCCCATGGACACAGGTGGTGCTGTTCCCTCGGCCCATGGACACAGGTGGTGTTGTTCCCTCGGCCCATGGACACAGGGGGAGGCCGTTCCCTCGGCCCATGGACACAGGTGGTGCTGTTCCCTCGGCCCATGGACACAGGTGGTGTTGTTCCCTCGGCCCATGGACACAGGGGGAGGCCGTTCCCTCGGCCCATGGACACAGGTGGTGCTGTTCCCTCGGCCCATGGACACAGGGGGATGCAAAAGAAATGAAAGAAACTGAAAGACTTGCATGACCCCCCCCTTCATCCTCAGCCCTCCCACCCACAGCAGAGCCTGCACACTGTGCACCCCTCTCAACTACATATACAATACTAAAACTAAGCTTGATTAAATTGCCTCACAAAATTAACTTCTAAAGAGCTTTCAGCGATCAAGATTAAAATGAAATATTTTTGATTATATAAATACATGTCTTTTAAGAGACCTAAATTGTGTAAAATTTTGGTGTGTGAGACAGAACTCATTTGCCTAAAGCCTTGGACCTTCTGCAAGTGACTCTCAGCCTCCTTGTTCAAACAGCCCTACTAGGGCCTGGCACAATGGTTCAAAAGGCTAATCTTCCATCTGCAAGCACCAGCATCCCATGTGGGAGCCGGTTTGTATCTTGGCAGCCCCACTTCCCATCCAGCTCGCTGCATGTGGCCTGGGAGAGCAGTTGAAGTCAGCCCAAAGCTTTGGGATCTTGCACCCACTTGAGAGACCTGGACAAAGCTCCCAGCTTCAGGTCAGCTCACTCTGGCCACTGTGGCCACGTGGGAAGTGACCCAGTGGATGCAAAATGTTTCTCTCTGCCTCTCCTTCTCCCAGTAAATCTGTCTTTGCAACAAAGATAAATACATATTTATTTAAAATAGCGCGAGGACGTGTTTTAAAACTGTTGCAGAAGCCTGTCTGTGAATTTAAGATGCCATGGAGCATGAAGTGCTCGGTGGGTGCCGAGACACCATTCTCATCGTTAGCCTCCCGGAACACACAAGAAAATCCTGGCAAACACTTACCATGCAGCAGGTCATGCACGGTGCTGTAAAAAGTTTCATGCAATGTGAGTTTGGGCTCATTTTCCCTTTCTCCATGTATGGAGATTCCTTCATTCTGTGTGGATAAAAAGGCAATAATATCAATAATTCAAGACGACACCGTAAGTACCTTTCCCAAGTACAGGCACACACGCTGTTGCAGTGCCGGAATGTGTCTCACATCTGGCGTTTAGTAAAACCATGCCAAGTCACATTTACAACAAGCAAATCACTACCTCCACCCCTGGGGCGTGCCAGTCGTCCCCACCCCATAGGGGAGTGCCAGTTGTCTCCACCCCTGGGACGTGCCAGTCGTCCCCACCCCATAGGGGAGTGCCAGTTATCTCCACCCCATAGGGGAGCGCCAGTTGTCTCCACCCCAAAGGGGAGTGCCAGTCGCCCCCACCCCTGGGGCGTGCCAGTCCTCTCCACCCATAGGGGCGTGCCAGTTGTCCCCACCCCATAGGGGAGTGCCAGTCATCTCCACCCCATAGGGGAGTGCCAGTTGTCTCCACCCCTGGGGCGTGCCAGTTGGAGCCCTGGCTGCTCAGCTCCTGGCGCACCGTCCTGGTGACACACCCAGGAGGCAGCAGATGACCCACACACACACAAGGACTCCAGAGGAGCTCCAGGTTTTCGGCTCGGCCAGACCCAGCCCTGGCTGTCACAGGCATTTCAGCAGTGACCCAGGACATGGAAGGCTGGGCATCTGCTCCTCAAGGGGATGAAAACAAACACTTTTAAAAAACATACTATTTAGGGCCTGGCACAATAGTGTAGTGGTTAGAGTCCTTACCTTGCACGCACCAGGATCCCATATGGGTGCCGGTTCTAATTTCATCAGCCCCACTTCCCATCCAGTTCTCTGCTTGTGGCATGGGAAAGCAGTCGAGGACAGCCCAAAGCCTTGGGACCCTGCACCTGCGTGGGAGACCAGGAATAGCTCCTGGCTCCTGGCTTTGGATTGGTTCAGCTACAGCCATTATGGCCGCTTGGGGAGTGAGCCATCGGATGGAAGATCTTCCTCTCTGTCTCTCCTCCTCTCTGTATATTCGCCTTTCCAATAAAAATAAAAATAAATCTTATAAAAAAAATATTTTAATTCTATTTCCTATCACTAAGCAGCCCTTTAGAATGTTTTGCCAGTTGATAGGATAAATCCTATGAACTGGTAAATAGTTAAACAGCTGATTTTCACCTACAAAAATGCAATTTCATGATACAGTGACTTGATAAAGTCCGATCATCTCCCTAATCCCTTGTTATTAGCCATCAAACACTGAGAACAATGACCCCAATCACGGGACATGACAAGCTCTTCTGTGAGAAAAGACACTAGGACATTTCACGAGTGGGGGAGTCACCTGCACACCAGATGCTGTGAGCCACCGGTGATCACGTGCAGGCCAACCCAGTGGCAGGTGCACCAGGCCAGAGGCCAGGTCCCTGGAGTGCACCTGCCGCCTCGGGCTGAGGTTCTGTGGTCGTGCTCTGGCCACACCAGGGGACTTACGCGGAGGTTAGGGAATGGAGCGGTTGGAACACTATCTGTGCAATTCTACCTTTCTTGGTCCAGTGTGGGAACTGGGCAAACCAGGCCCAGGATCCAAGCCAGCCTCCCCAGCCCATGTGTCTTCTGGGAATCCTACGCCTCCGGTTCCTGGGGCCCCTTCAGATGGAAGATAATTGCAGGACGAATGCAAGGCGCACCTGCGGCAAATCGGATACGCTGCTGACGGACTGGACACACATGGGAGAACTGGAGGGCGTCAGCTCCTGCGAGCCCGTCAGGCGCTGGGGAGCGTCTCCGATGCTGAGGACGTCCGATTCCGACATGCTTGCTAACTCTCCATCAGAGGTGTCTGCTTCCAAAGGCGGGGGTCCTGAAGGGGATGACAAAACTGCTGACAGAGCTTGTCCCTCACCGTTCAATGATGGAAGCCCCTCTTTATAACACCACAATTCTATGTCAATTACCAGATGCAAACACTCACCCCTCCTCTCACCAGGGCAAAGTTCAACTGCCCTAAACTCTAAAATGTCACTTATTCGGATGTTAGAAAAATGTCACACTTCAGTATGATTATGCCATGCTAACTTGGTTTGGGACCAAACATCAATTTGGACAGAAATGAGGTTCTCCGTGTGGTTCCCATCCAAGATCCACCTGAAAAGCTCAGCACTGGGGCAGACGCAGTCTCTCGTCAAAGAGGAGAGGCCTACCCACTTAGCACAGGCCTACCTACTTCCACCAACTGCTCTGCTTCCTTGACCAGCGTCTTTCTGATCAAGTCCCTTCCCGTGCCCACCCATTCTTTCAGGCACCTGGCTTTGAAACTCCGGGGGCGTCTTGGCATCTGTCTGCCTCCCCCTCCATCTGCTCATCACTCCTGTCCATCTCCCCATCACCGCATGGGTCCCTATCGGGGCTGTTGGGAGAGGAGTCCACCTCTGCCCAGCTTTCCAGGTCCAGCGTGCTCCGATCCACCCACCATCGCCCTGCTCTGGGGTTCATGCCCTCCCCGCCACCTCAATCCCCTGTTGGGACAGGTGTTCCTCGCTCAAAGGATTCCTGCCCACCACTCCTTGTGCGTGATCAGCTGTGGTTTGCTCCCGCCTGCCCACAGCGCCCAGGGTGCCTTGCAGCTCCCACCTGCCCATAGACCCCAGGGTGCCTGCAGCTCCTACCTGCCCACAGACCCCAGGGTGTCAGTTCGGAGTCCCCTCACCGTTTCCTGTCAGACAGTGTTGTGTACACAGGAAATACTGATGGATGGGATTCTTGCTATTAAACCCAATCTACCGGCACCACTCATTTGCCTGGTCTGTTTTTGAATTACGAATTGGTAGAATTGATTGAGGATTAGTCATTTTGGAGCCAAGGCCCTTATTTGGCAAAGTGTAAGAAGTGCAGGCCAGACAAGCTGCTTTGCCTGGGCTCCCCTCTCTGCCACAGAACCACACCGCCTCCCGTGAGGTGCAGGGGTTCTGAACAACCCACTTCCAGATGCCAACAGGAAGACAGGAAGACGAAGCAGGAGCACCTCCCCGCAGAGCCCCGAACCTTCTGACAACCTGCCCACCGCTCAGGTGGCGTTGGAGTCAGGCCCAGGCCTCCCCACTCAGAGCCTGGCTCCTTCGCCCTCCTCGGACGCAAATCCATCTGCAGGAGCGGGGACAACCCCACCGCGGCCAGGTCTCTGCACACACGGAGGGTGTACAACCTGTCCGCCAGCAGCCTCGCCATCACCCGCAGGCCGCCCCCAGAGGCCCCGGGCACACTGAACCCCACTTCCAACCCCACTAATGACGTCCGCGGCCCCACCCCGCCGCATCTCAGCGACCCACGTTTCCTTCCATGCCACTTCCAGCCTTCGTTTACGTCCTTACCAGGTTTCTGGTAGCTTTTTTTTTTTTTTTTTTTAAGTTATTGAAATGCTTGGATATTACATTTAAAGCTGGCTGACGCAGGTGTCCAAAGAAGGTGTCCCGGCAGTTAAGTGACTAAAACTCCCAAGTTTTGTTCTTGAACATTTTCTTTGGTGCTGGGACAAACTTTTTTTTTTAAAGCACCAACTTTTTAGGGCGCAGTGCTCTCCCTGCCAGGATCCCCACTGTAACGACTCGGCGCTTCGCTCCTCCACAGCGAAGGTGTGGGCGAAGAACGCCTTCCACCCTCCTCCAACGGCGCCTTCCATCAACCCGCCCGGGGCTCGGGGCGCGCGCCAGAGACCCCACACCGGCGCCCCGACCCCGAAGCAGGGCGGTGAGGAGCGAGCGAGCCCCACGCCAGCCCGGGGCCCAACCGCCCGCGCCCCGGCAGCCGCGCGTCCGACGGAGGGAGCGCGCACGCCCGGCCGCCAGAGTTTGTCCCTCCTGCACACCGTCCGGGCGGGCGGGCCTCTGGGCGCGGGGCGGGCCGGGGCGAGCGCCGGCGGAAGGGGCGGGCCTTCCGGGCCGGGCCGGGGTCTCGGTGCGGGGAGAGCGGGGTCCGAGGCGGCCGCCAGGACGCGGGGCTTGCGGCGTTCCAGGCGCACGGGCCGCGGGGTCCAGGGGAAGCCTTTGGCTCGGCCGACCGTGAAGGCGTGTTGGCGGCGTCGCCGGCCATGGATTACCGGCGGGTGCTGATGAGCCGCGTGGTGCCCGGGCAGTTCGACGACGCGGAGCCGTCGGACAGGTAGGCGGCCGTGGAGAGCCCTAGGTGCCGCTCGGGGGACGCCTGCAGCCTCGGCCCTCGCCGCCCCGGGGACGGCTGGTGCTGCGGAACTCCCCGGCTGGGTCAGGGTGCCAGACCCGGTGCCCGCGGTGGGAGAGAGGGCACGCCGTCAAATAGAAGGACTTCAGCGGAAATGCGGAGGGAAATGAGGTGGCAAAATGGAACTTAAAGGTTTATTTTAGTGTGAAAAACCGTATATTGAAGGTTTTTACTGGAAAGACAGATTTACTGAGAGAAGGAGAGAGAAAGCTGTCCCGTCTGCTGGCTCGCTCCCCTAAATGGCCGCAGTGGCCGGAGCTGAGCCCAAACCAGGAGCCGGGAGCCCGGCGTTTCTTCTGAGTCTCCTTCGTGGGTGCAGGGTCCCAAGTACTTGAGCCAGCCTCTACTGCTTCCCCACGCCATAAGCAGGCAGCTAGATGGAAAGTGGAGTAGCTGGGACAAGAACTGGTGCCCGTTTGGGATTCCGGTGCTTGAAGGGGAAGGATTAGCCAGTTGAGCCATCGCGCTGGCTTCCACAAAATAAATAAATAAGATAATCCATGCCAAGTTTTTGGCGTGGCAAGTTTTGCTGATCTGTGTAGACAGCTGGCTGGTTCTTGAAGGATGAAGCAAGGAGGAGGCACCAGCCTTGAGTGGAGCAGAGGGACGGGCAGATGTAGTCACAGTGGCCAAGTGCCAGGCCCCGGGGGGAGCTGGGAGCTCCCGTGCTGGTGCCCCGCAGCGGAGATGGGAGCGGACAGGCACCTCTCCTAAGCCCCAGGAAAGCTGCAGGGTGGATTTGAGCAGGAGGATGCCCTGTGGTTTACGGAGTGTAGAGGTGGTGGACAGCAGGAAGCCAGCGGCAGCTTTTAGCCAGCTGGCCGCAGTGCCCGCCCTGTGCCTGCTGTGTCTCTGAGGGAAGCTGGAGGACTGCCACGGGGTGGTACTTGATGTACTTCTCTGTAGAAGTGGGGCTTGTCAGCGAAGTGGCCTGTGGAACCCAAAATGCGCAGTGCGGGCTTCTCGAGCTAGCCAGATGCAGTAACCCACGGCTGCCTTCTGTGGGCGCGGTGCTGGTACTGTGCTGCACGGCTGCCTTCTGTGGACGCGGTGCTGGTACTGTGCTGCACTGCTGCCTTCTGTGGACGTGGTGCTGGTACTGTGCTGCACGGCTGCCTTCTGTGGACGCGGTGCTGGTACTGTGCTGCACGGCTGCCTTCTGTGGACGCGGTGCTGGTACTGTGCTGCACGGCTGCCTTCTGTGGACGCGGTGCTGGTACTGTGCTGCACGGCTGCCTTCTGTGGACGCGGTGCTGGTACTGTGCTGCATTGACCTGGGCCGCTTCTCAGGGAGGCCCTGAGGGTCCTGGCCCGCCCGCAGCATCCCCCCTCCCTTTGTAGTTCAAGGCAAACCTGCCTTAACTCGCTCCCAAGCTTTGCCTCTCAAAGTCAGAGCTGTCGCACAACCCAGAGCTGTGCAAGCAGCAATGAGGAAACCTGGGTGCACTCCTGCACGCCCTGGTACGCTCCTGCACACCCATGTACACTCCTCCTGCACACCCATGTACACTCCTGCACACCCATGTACACTCCTCCTGCACGTCCATGTACACTACTCCTGCATGCCCATGTACACTCCTGCACGCCCGTGTACACTCCTCCTGCACACCCATGTACACTCCTCCTGCACGTCCATGTACACTCCTCCTGCACACCTGGATTCACTCCTCTTGCACACCTGGGTCCACTTCTCCTGTACACCCATGTACACTCCTGCACCCATGGGTCCACAACTCCCTGCTAGGAGCAGGCCTGAGCGTCAACAAAGCTGTGATAGGGACAGTGGTAGGAAGGATGTTTGAGCTTATAGGGTGGGGGTTGTAAGGGAAGCGGAAATGTTTCTGTGTTAGCATGCCTGAGCCACGTAGGGGTGTGTAACCTTGCCCACACTTTGTTTCTAGTGCAGTCCCAGACTTGAGGAGAGTGGAAGGCAATGGTGGCGTTCTGTTGGAAGACTGTGAAGACAGCGCGAAGGAGAGGAGCGACAGTGAGACAGAAGAGGAGGACGAAGTCACCTGGGACTGGGATGAGGGAGCGGGCAGGCTGTCCAGGGCCTGCGCAGGGCGTAACCCACAGGTATCTTGGCAGTGGTTCCAGCTGCCTCTATCCACTTTCAGTTCTAGAACTGAGTAGTGGAAAGCTTAGGTTTTTCTGTAGCACCAGCATTTATTGATTTTCATGCCCCATCCATCCTTTCCAAATTTCTGAAAGCTTTGTGAGTGAGACTTTATCCATGGGCAGTGAATGTAGAACGTTGCTTCAGGTGTCCTTAAAAATGCGCTGTTAGGAAAAGCAGGCGCTTTACTGCTGGCTGACTGCGAGAGCTGGTCAGCTTCTAAGACAAGCTGCAGTGTGATAAAAGCGTGGAGAAATCAGACACTGACCAGCAGGTCCTGCAGGAGTGTGCCGTGACTCAAGCTTTTAGGGTGGTCTCCTGGGCTGGGCACGGCAGAGGAGCAGTGCTGGCAACTCGACCACAAGACTGGGTGACGCAGCCGCAAGGTGTGCTGTAAATGTGTTCATGATCTGCCGTCGTCTGCCATGTGCAGACACAAGTTAACAGACCATGTACAACCTACTTCTTTTAAATTAGAAAAAAAAATTTTAAAAGGCATTCTGTTTGAAGGACACACACGCACTCACGCATCTTTGAGCTCCTAGTTCACTTCCCAAGTGTTTGGAAAAGCCAGGTGTGACCCAGGCTGATCCCAGGAGCCAGGAACGTAATCCCATCTCCCATCTGGGTGGCAGGAAGGCAGGTGCTTCAGCCCTCCCGGGCCTGCTCTGCTGGTTCACTTGCTGCATGGCCACAGCGGCCAGGGCTAGGGCAGGCCAGAGGCGGGAGCCTGTTCCCGCATGGCGACGGCGCCCAGGGCTAGGGCAGGCCAGAGGTGGGAGCCTGTTCCCGCATGGCCATGGCACCCAGGGCTAGGGCAGGCCAGAGGTGGGAGCCTGGAGCTACTTGTGCCCTCCCATGTGGGTACTGGGGCACAGGTCCTGGGGCCATCTTCCACTGCTTCTTTCAGGCCATTTGCTGGGAGCGGACTGCCCTAGGGGATGCTGGCGTTGCAGGCTGCGCCTTCCTGCTCCCCCACACTCCTAGAGGCTGTCTCTAACCCTGAGGTGCTCCCTAGCCAGGAGCATGCGGAGCTGTGGGTTAGCAGGTGCCGCGAGCTTACTGTAGGCTGTGGAGGGCAGCACTGGACACTGTTAAAACCGTCACTTCGGGAGCCAGAATGTGTGTGTTTTTTTAAATAACCAAAGAAATTCACACTCCTCGTGGTCTCATTTTGGTAACGCCTGCATTGTTTTGTTGAATTTGAGCGGTTTCTCTACAGGGGTCATCACTTGTAAGACTGGGGGGATGTGGAAGCCTGTGTGCCTCTCAGTTAACCGCTTTAGTGGTGAAAGTTTTACCTGTGGTTTGTGCCACCGATGTTTATTATAGAAACTGGACTTTTTCCTAAAAAAACTTCTTTGTGCCAGCCTGAATGCTAAGCCACCTGTTCGCCCTTTACCTTTTCTGAGCTCCTGGGCCCAAAATGAAGTTCTTAGAGTCATTGTAATGTTTTGCTTAGGTTTTGACTCTATGAACTAGTTAAATTAGAGGAGCGAGGGTCCTCCTTGCAGTAGGGGGAATGAATTGCAGCAGAGTGGGAAAGCAGGCCGCAGGGAGGGTCCCCCACCTTCCTTATCGAGCTTTGAAAACGTTACAAATCCACAATGCCGAGCGCCTGAGACTCCAGGACTTCGTTCTAGGCGAATCGACAGACCTCCAGCTGCACTTCAGCCAAAATGTCGACTCCAGCTGACAAAGTCTTACGGAAATTTGAGAATAAAATTAATCTAGGTGAGTTATTAAACGCATTTCATCTGTAGGTTATGAAAATCCTCTGGAAAGCAGGTAGTGTTATACGGTTTCATTTGAGCAAGAAATGGGTATATTTCAAGTTTGTTACAGTCTCAGAGTGGTTTGAAAACGTGGTCCAGGAAGACAAATGTCACTGGTTGTTAGTGCTGTGTTTTGCACCTGTTGTCGGAGCGTGAAGTTACACAGGTCCGGTCCGGGTCCTCTCTGTTGCTGTTAAACTTTGCAGTGGGGTCACCGGGGCGGCGGGGTGTGATGTACTAGCATTTGATTTCATTGGAGCCTTTCTGAGGTGTCAGTCGTTCGAGAGCTGGTGAAGGCAGGTTGCTGTTCGTCTGGAAGTGGCTGGTCACCGAGAGCGCAGCGAGCGGCCAGGAGGGGTCCTTGAGGAGGAGCAGTGCTCTCCGGGCCCTTCTTGCTGCCTGGGCCTGTAGGTTGAAGTGGCATTAAATACGGAGTCCAGGCAGTTACTCTGTGTAATTCAGAATGTTAGCATGAAGTTGTTTTAATAGATTGAACGTTAGTCCTCTTTCATTGCGTGCATGCGTTGTGTGGTATTAGGATCCTTGTTCTTTGGGGTAGTAGGCGTTTCCGTGCCCTGAGAACAAGCATCGGTTACCTGCCTCCCACCTTCGAGGCACTAGGGCCCCAGAATGTCTTTGTCTCATCTGGAAAGACTAGCATCCCACCGTCAGCCTC